AAATCACACAGTGTTGTACAGTAATATTATCTGATGACGTTTCGAGCACAAATTATTGCTCATAATCATATCAAGTCAGTCACACAACTTTTTGCTTCATTCATACACATGAGTATTTTAGTTAAGCGTACTACAGTTATAAAAAATCACCCATCTCATTCACTTCTGTTCACACTAATTCTTATGTCCGTGTTACTGACTTTTGGTTTATGTTTTCTTCTTCAGTGCACTTTATCTGGACACTTTAAGGAAGCGGGAAATGCATAGAGTAATTAAGAAACGGCATTAATAATTATTTAAGCCAATTAACATTGTAGTGAGTTGTGACACTACGCATCTGCAGTGACAAAGCTGACTGATTGAGTTTTAACATGCAACTCAGTACAGAAGTGCAGCAGTTTGATTTGTCACCTTCAACACTTGAAAAATATTATATTTAGTCGGTAATAAGCAAAACATTTCGTCAGATGTGTTTCGACTTCGCATTTAGGCTGTGAGATAAAATAAACTAACTCCTGAGATATAACGAGACAGAGTAAGAGGAGAAATTATCGTAAGACAACTCTTTTTTCAGTTAGACAAGAACCAAATGCAAAAATGCAATTACCATTTGTTGACGTTTCGCTTATTTTGATGCACATTATAGCATTTCATTATACCTGGACTATAGATCATTCCGATAGACTGATTTTCGACATAGAAGCTTGCACACAAGTGCACCCGTTTAGGTTATCACACTCCATGTAGCACACAAAGGTAGAGAAAAAAGAAATTAAATGGAACGCTAATGAGCATAAATGTGATGGAAAATGAACAGTGATATGGAAAAAACATAAGGGTTGCTCAGATATGTGAGATTACACAGAGTGAATGCATCTGTGTCATTATCAACGTTTGGAGTCACATTTCTACTTAACACTAAACGTAACCTCAATGTTATTCACCGTATTAGACTATATATATATTTCCTATCTATGTAGGACACACCAGTTGCACAGGTATGGATAAATATTATTTAAATTACATGAATTTGATTTATAGTGAAATTACATGGTTGCTGTCCTCTCTGACATCGGTTAGTGAGTACATTCTGATAGTTAGTCGTTCAATGGAGCACATAAAGAAATATAGAAATACTGTCTTCTTATTAACAAAAAAACCCAAGTATGTGTTGGATAAATTACAAATATTTGGGAAAAAGATAAAGCTTGAAGTCAATCCCTCCATATAACTTTGTTGTGTGCGGCGTCGTATCTTGTTTTATGTTGAAATTGGGTATTAATTTAAAATGAATGATTTATTTTTATGATTTTGACATCATTTTTATTGCGAGTAACACCAGATGTGAATTCAACTGAATGCAGATTAATATTGGTCATATAGAGGAAAGGGCACAGATACTACGATCAAAAACCAGTAGTCTTTTCGTTTCTTCCAGTTACAATGGTCACTTCTCACAGCTTAAGTAGACAATATCATCAGCCTACACTAATTTGACAAGACTGTTCCTGGTAAGTCCTTAAAGTGAGTGACAGAGAATTCTGTTAATACATGTATGATGAAAGTGAACTAAAATAAGGACGATAGTTGCAGAAATGAGCCTTATATTATATTCTTCTTGGAAATATCAGTTCCCTCATAGTTTAGTTTCAGTATTAAGTGAATGGAATGCAATCTACGGATTCATGAAATTCACATACTGACGTACTACTTTTCCTGAATCCTAGTTAATGTCTCCTCAGTAAAGTGAGAAATGGGTATGATACTTGTGTGAACTCAATAGGCTGTGAACTGCTGACAATGAAAACGACAACAATTCTTGGAATTACCAGTTATAATTCTAGCTTGATTGCATGCGACATTAAGCAGTTGTTAAATGGCCACTTGATGAACATCGAATCCATACAGAAAGAGCAGAAGATTTAGTACAACATGCACACTCCTGATTTCACTATGAAGCATGCATGCCAAATGCATCACTTTAGGGGCCTCCACAGTTCAAAAATAAACTCACAACACTGAAGTGTAAAAATTTATATTTGTCCTTGCTCAGCTTAATATAGCGAATCTTGTGAAGTAACTTTCTCATGCAAAAGAGAAGAGCAAGGTATTCACAATCTTTTGCTACATGTGGAATCAAAGTGAAACCCAATGCCCAATTGTATATATATGAATAAACTGAAAAATAAAGTCCTATTTATCTTATGAAAAACAAGTCCTTATTCCAGGACAATAACTTTCTTTCATCTATGAGCCTAAGTTATGTCCATGAAATCGCAGTATTACATCAATGAAATCTTCCCCCAAAATCAAGGCCACTCGAAACCCATAGCAACATAGCAACGGACATCGTAGCGAGGATATGCAATAAAGCCACTCACTTAAATCGGTTGAACGGGGGGCGTCAATTGCGGTTCAAATTTCCTCAAGCCGTTGTTCATATGTAATTTTGAATTACGTACTTACAGGAACTCTGTAAATTTATCCTATGTTACATTTGGCTCTTCTGTAGGAGTGTTACCTACTATTGCAGGCAGTTTGAATATCTTCTGTGGCGGCTGCTGTACTGTGCTCTTAATCATACCACGACAGCTTTTATCTTCTCACATCAAAAGCCAGATTATCAGTTTGAAGATTTGTCATTCAGTCAACAACAAACCAATGCAACAAGTCGTTTTATATATCAGTTGTTTGATACATAAAATTAAGATACCAAACATCCACGTAACACACGTTAACATAACTGATCATGTAGCCCTAGTTTTCCGTCAACAATCGAGTGGCAAGGTGACGACAGGAATTCCAACCTTCGAAGAACAGATAACTGGTTCATAGTATCCTCGGCGGTAAAAGTGGCAATATAATGCATTAATGAATGTGATATACAGTTCAAAAAATCATTCTAAGGTACATATAGACGACTGGTTCAGTTGTTGGGACACAAAGCCCTTTAAAACTTCGCCCGCTCACACTTAGTCTTACGATATTGAGGACATTACTAATTTATAAGGCTTTGGATTTCAGAGTGTTGATCATGCGACAATAGATGTATTACATCCATTTGATTATCCACCTCGACTGTAATTATTTTTCGGTGGCTAGAAACTGCTAGAACAAACTCCCAATCGTCTGGAAAGCGATATATATATCCTGATATTTGTTGCAAAAAGAAAAAGTTTTGTAGCGGTGGGTAATCCCCTGAATTATTGGCCACAACATTCATTACAGAACATTGGATACTAACCCTCGATTCGTTTGGCTGAAGGCTTTCGGTCAAGCATCCACGCCATTTGGCACGCCGTCGTGTTGCGTTTTTCCGTGCACGAGCCCTAGCTAGTTAAGCGATCATCTCGCACCCCAATTCAGTCCCGAAATATAATTCGGAATTTGGACGGTCAGTTCTGATGTTTTCCTCTGCCTTTGGTCAACGCAGAACGAATAGCATGGAAGTTGTGAGCATTAGATCTCGCATTTGTGTACTTCGCACTAGCCGTGAATGTCAACACCCTTAGCCTCTAATGCTCTCTCAGCTTACAAGAGAGAGTGAAAGAGAAACTGAAAGCGAAATAATCACAGGAGAACAATGAGAAGGTAAAATCCAAGAGACATGTTGCCAATGGGTGGCGCACTGTCACATATTAATTTTGACCAGAGTTCATTTGGCCCAGAAAGCAAAAAAGGAGGCCAGGAGCACTGTCTAAAATTCCTTGAAAAGCAGTTCAGTGCTATAATGCATAGAGCTGTATCAACTGAATATCTATGTTTACTGAAATAGAGTCGTTTTGGCACAATTAAGATAGTCACGCGTAACAATGAAACCAAAAGATAAATAAATACGTCAAGGAAATATCCCACATTGTACGTATGCATAAATATTCTCACGAAATACTACGAACTGATTTTCCGTTGGCTATTAGGAGATGGAATGCGTCATATATTTATTCATACATTTTTAGTAGATATAACCTCAACAATGTATGTTTTAATAGTGAAATCTGAAGTTTAGAGAAAGTAAGCGATCTATATTTGTTTATCTGTTCTCAGGTTTGGCGAAAATCTGATTCGTTTTGTTTTGGCGGGTTGATTCCCTTGGATGTGTTAAATGAAGTCTTTAGGTTTTGAGTTGGTCTATCCAGGCAATTGTAAACCCATCTCTGGTGATCTTTCCGTGGAGGAATTAAGGAAGCGCCTCAATGCAAGTGATAAGCTATTCCTTATTTTTGTAGGAACTAAGTTGTTCTCTAGATAATGTGATCGAAGAAGAAAGGCGATTCTTAGAAACTACTTTCGATGGAGAACAACCGTCTCTAACCCAGGAACACTCGAAATATAGAGGGCTTTTTCTGCTTCTGTCATCGCCTGAATTCCTAACGAGTGCAGACGTAGATATTCAGCTGAGAGTTGGGGTTTGTATCTGCAAACTCCTCAAAGTATTTTGTCCGCATAATCCCTTGAGTGGTTTATCAGAAGAAAAGTCACTTACGAAAGTAGGTTTTTTTCTGAGATTAAATTTCAGGATGTCTTAACTTTCCTTATTAACTGTATTGAATTGCTGTCAAACCTGAAGTCTAAGGAAAACGTCAATTATATTAAATTGCATACGATGCTTTATGTATGTTGTCTTGTTTTATTTTTAATGATATTTAGATATGCATTCAAATTGACACTTTCATGTGGTGTTCCGTTTTGGGAGACGAGGCTGTCCTGTTTAATTTCATAAAAATGACGTTTGCAATAATCAAGTATGATTTTTCTAAAAATATATTAGTGTTAGGAATTTAGATGTCTGGTCTTGGGCTGACGTTTCTGTTGTTCGCCAAGCTATTTTAGACATGGTCGTCAAAGTTGTAGTCCATTCCGAAAAAATTCTGACTCCTGACATAGTCACATTTGTACTGCAGTTTCTAATAGAACCCGCAAAAAGTACTCAACCTGACCAACATACATTCTCTCGGGATTTGATTATTCGAACAGCTGACCAGATCGAGTATCAAATCCAAATGGTAAGTGGAGTGTGGTGTGTCATAAAATCTCAAGTTATTACAAAATTCTCTCATTGTAGGCAGCTGCAATGGCATCAAAGTAAAAACAAGAAATAAATCCAGTCATCCAGAAAACAACTTAGAAGATAATGTTGCGAAGGATATAAATACAAGCGGTTCTGATGAGGAAGACACAAATCCTGATCCACTGGGAGAGCATGCATTCTTAATCATCTACGCCCTACACACAATACAAAGCAGCATAGTTGCACCAGTGCTTCCGACAATCGAGCTGAAGTTGAAGTCCTCCCTCACGCGTGATAGGAAACGATCATTCAGGCTACTAGCACTCTTGTTTTCAGAGTCGGTATGTTTTTACTGGTAGCATACTAAAATTTAAAGAATTCTTTAATCCATAGACGAAACCCAAATCTTTGGGATGCCTTTCTGGGACGCTTTAATGATATCGATAGTGAAGTTCGCATGCTCTGCATTCACATGTTGCCTCAACTTTTAAGTAAGAATCAGGAGCTACCGCACGACCAGCTGTTAGCCTGTTTCCAACAGCGCATTTATGATCCAGATGAAGGTAAGTCTTGTGAAAACGTAACTGCTAGCTGAATCGATCGAACCAAAGACATTTAATTATAAGTCATGTTTTTCAAGTCCATAATTTCATATGACACTACTATCCCTATAGAAAATCCAGTCAAACTAGATAGCTAAAACCAATTTTTGCCAAACACTGGAATTCATAAGGATTTATAGTAAATGTCTATTCTGCAGTTGGCATCCAATGTTCATAAAACTAATTAGTCATTTTCTTACCAGAGTTCATATAAAACAGCAAAATACTCTCTTTAATGAAGTTTTATTTTAATGTCTAATAGCCCAAATGAATAATTTCCCCCAGATTTTTCATTTATGAAGCAGTTTAATTCAGTTAGTTTATCTCGGGTGAATGTTTTGGGGAAATCATACTTTGTAAATCTCTTCATTTAGTTGAGCCAGTTTGACCAAGAAGCTAAAAACTCTAACCATGCTCTGGATAGCTAATCGAACCATAGTAGCTGGGGTTTCTTAGCTTTTTAAACTCTCACAGTAGTAATAGGTTTTAAAGCAAACCATCCAACTTTTATTATTTTCCATGTAATTATTCTTTCTCCCGTACATTGCCTTTCATTAAAGTTCCTCTGGATTTTCATTTTCCTCTACATTTTTTGCTCTGTGGAAAGTGGCAGCCTGAATCGGTGCACTTTTGTACGAAGTTCTACGTTGAAATAAATTACTACTTGAATAACATTCAGAAATTTATACCTGGTACTAGTGAGTTCCTTAAGTTGTCACATTAGGGAAATTCTCGATTTCGCTGGATGCCTTCCTTCCTTAGGATTCAGTTCAGTGACTATTTTCCAAATATCCTACCACGTTGATGTTCATGATATAAATGAGACTCACTATACTGTTATACTGCTGTTAGTTAGTAGCTTTCATTGGTCATAGGTAGATAACTGAGTAATAAAACATATGGATAGTGTTTGCTTAGTTGTTTTTAGCAAATACTGACTTATTACTGAATATTACAAGTAACCTGTGATGCTTGCGCTTGATACTATGGGGTTTCTCAAATGGTCACTAAATTTTTTCATTATCTGTATCCGCGAAATATCATTGTCAAATCAATTTGGTATTATCGGTTTAAAAAGTGGCAAACAGAGATAAAAGAAAATTCCACTTAAAATTAAGGCTTGTTCACTATTAGTATCAAATGTGTGTTTATTTCTCACTTTCTTTAGAGTTAATTACACAGTTCTCCTTCTAAAGTGATGCATTTCAGACAAAATGTGATATGTTAGTCTAAATATTTCTTACTTTATGTAGTCTTAGAAATGTCAATAATTACATAAAAAAGCTTATTGCTCATGATCATACCAAAGTACCTTGGTAAATTGTACTCGAAACGTCATCAGTAGGTATTACTGTATAACACTATGACTTTATCAAAGTAGATTTTATCCATAATGGAATTATACTTTACCACAGTGCCCAAGTTTTATCCTTATATCTCCTTTTAATCAATTTGTTCTTCCTCTGCCATTACGAATTTGCATTCTGGTCCTCTAACTTTTGTTTTGTTAACAAGCTTATTATTGGTAATAATGGCTAGTCTTTTCTATTAACAAGTTAACTGTAAAGGAATCTCTAAATATAGTGGATGGAGAAAGAATATTTTGCTTTGATTATGTTTGACCAGTATTTATGTTAAAACAGTCACCGACATAGGAAAGTTTATGTCATTTGCATTGGGAAAGTGTATATTGAATCGACTGGAAGAAGTCAAGCCTTTTCTGATAATTCACTTTTTGTACTCGTCTCTTGGTTCTTCTGACTGGTTTATAATTTAGCATCTTTCCACATAATTATTGTCTCCGCATTCTAAAGTTCAGTACTTTATTTTGAGGGTGGCAACTCGTAAAGTACATGTATTAAAATGAGTGATTTTTCTAATGTTCATCTTTCAATTCTACTCATGTGAACTACTAACAGTTACTAATCGGATTACAATAAGTGTATTACTCTGCTTTCTCTGTTTCATACGAATGGAAATCGTAAAAGTCTCCTGGTTCTCACATTATATTCATTTTCGTAGTTTTATTCGTGGTAGGCTGTTATGTTTAATTGAAATGTTAAATTCTTTAAACATTTCTCAGATTACTTTTAAATATCTTAACTAATCAATAAAACAGCTATAGATGAAGTCGCTAACTGACTAGTCATTGTAGAATTCCTCTCTGATATACATCGGTGGACCATTGCTACATTTAGGGAAAGTGCACAAAACAAGAAAAAAGAAGCAGAATTATTCTATGACAGATAGCCATAAGTATGCGAAAAGTTCTATCTTATATCTGACAGAAACGAACCACATGCCAAACATATTAAAACTTTATTTCAAGGTGTTCAAAAGAGCAAGTTCACCCAACGGAACTATACCGTCTGTGTATTCTGTGAGTGAAATTCTCTCCTAGTGAAAAGTAAATCTTCAAAACATTAAAGTCGAGGCCCCCTCTCATCAGCATATCTATAGTAAAACTAATTAAGAGCTGTAATATTTCGTATTCCTGGAAGACAGACACCAATGGTTATCAACACTTCAGATAACAATTCCGCCCCCACCCCTTTGTTTGAATAGAGTGCGTTGATAATTGATGTTACTTTTTTTAGGTGTCGAGTGATAATCATAGTTCTATGTCAATAAAATAATCTGTTTGTTTCTCTCTGTTCTTACTCTAAAATGTGTTACCATCAGCAAGTAGTATGCGTATACCTATGAATAAGATCACCTCCATTTATCCTAATTTTGAAGTGGATTATTATTTTATTTCCTATCTAATAAGGTGTGCGACTGTTGGCGCTACAAACTATGACTGCTCTAACCAAGAAATCTCAAAGTGAATTTAGTGATAACTTCTTCGAACTATTGAAGGAGCGTTCGAGGGATAAAACTTTGTCCGTTCGAAAAGAAGCCTGTTTCGCCCTATCATCTCTGTACAAAGATGGTTTAGAGTCAAAATGCTTATCGACTGCTAAGTCATCATCCGCACTAAATACAATTTTACACTTGTACTACCAAAATTCATTGGATGATAAGTAAGTTTCAGAGGAATTCTGAATATATTTATTGTTTCTGAATGATACTGAAATGACACCACATTGAAATGTTGTTTTATTTATACTCAAACAAACATAATGAAAACACATCACAAATGGCGAAATTTAAATGCCTGTTGAAACTGACTTCTACCCCCTCCCTTGTTTCTTGTGTCTTTCTGACTATGCAATAGCTAATTATGGTATAGTATCGGATTGCGATGTAAATCCGCGGATGTAGTTTATTTACTTGGGTAGCAATTTATTCCATTCTTGTGTTTCTCATTCTAAGGAAGAAAATGTTTAAGGTTCTGTGTTTATGGTTGTAATAACGTATTTTTCGTGAGATTTTGAACCATCAACTTCTTAGGTGTAGTGTAGGAAAGTTAAATGGTTCCAATCCTTTCAGTTTTTTTCTCTACTCTTAAGCTGCCCAAGTAAAGTAGTTAATTATTACAATGTGAATACTTCTTAACACTTCGTTTGTGATGGTTGTACCATGGTCTTATATACTTCGAATTATTAATTTGTCTGCGTAGCTTTGCTTGAGGACTACTTACTGTATACATAGATAGGGTTTTTATTTATTCGGAAACTCAGTTGATTTCTCTAGATACATAATAAATGAAAAATGTGTTATCTGACAAAGATGTGTATAATTTCGTTGGGCTCAATTTATAGCAGGAATAATAGCTTATATATGCGTCGGTGGCATAGCGGTTAGGACGCATGCCGACCATGCACATGGTCCGGAGTTCGATCCCCGGCCGACGAACTCCTTTACCTCGCTAAGCCAGAAATAATGCTGGGGACGAAGAAAGGTTGGGCATGAGGCTAGCAACCCTATCCTGTAAAATAAACACTGCTACAGAAACTTCAAGCCCCCAGCTTGAAACCCTATGTTCCACTGGGGAACGTGAAGGAAAAAAATAGACCCTTCTGTGTTTCTATGCATACGGTACTCAACAGCCAATTGCAATGTCATGCAGTTAGCAATTTGCCACACTTATTGCATAGTCTAGTAATACTACCTGGCCTCCCAAATCTCACTAGGTTGTATGGGTGTCAAATCCGTGACCCACTGGTTAGAAGTCGAGCACTAAAACTAGTGAACAAAATGTCCATATGTTTCTGTACTGTTTTCAGAATACTAACTGATGAAAATTGAAGTTTAATCAGTAATATCGAAACACTCTAAATGTGGAAATGCGGTACTTTTGTCGGGAATGATCAATTATTTTGCTACATATTAGTTCATTGAACTGTATTATTAGCCTATCAATACTGATACTTTCTTCATCTACTATAAATATATATTTTTCTGCTAACAATTATTAAATAGATTTATTGTGGAACGACTACTAAAAAGTTCAATTGTTCCTTACACTTCCACAAGTTCAGCCCGTGTACAAGCCTTGATTCGGTGTTATAGCCTGATGGATGAAGCTTCGATCAAGGCGATGCAGGAAATTTTCAAAGCTCAGTATGCGTAAGTTTACTGGTTTATTAGTGCTATGCAGAAGATTTTCTTTCCGATATTCAGCTTATTGTATGCTGATGCTGTTGAACTGTAATCTATAATAATTGATTCGATGTTATTTAAACATTAATGTTGTTCATAACACTAATTCATTCACTATTATGTATATGTAACTGTAGAGCCTGATGATGAAGTTATCGAAAAGAGTATTCTTTGTTCAGAAAAGTTTGACATTTAAGATATTGCATTAAAACCGTCCTTATTATGCGACTAATTTTCACGAGTAATACCGTTGACTGACTGAGTGACTCAGTGGTTTCAACGTAGAACTTTGCACAGATGTGCAGCAGTTCGAATTGCCACTCTCCCTCTATGTAGCACACACAAGAGAAGAAAGAAAAGAGAGGTTCAAAACAGAGATAATAAACAGAAATACCAGGCAAAAAGAATAGTAATATCGAAGAACAATATAGTTTTATTGTATATGATAAATCACAAGGTGTGGATGTATCTGCGCCAGCGATTGACAACGGTTTTGACCCATATCACCGATTGTCTCCAGCAGTCATTGGTTCTTACCATCCCGAGGACCCCAACCAGTCAGGAAGTCGACACCTCCCTACGTGGTTGGCTGAATTAAACTGACTGTTGTGGATTTCATTGACTGATGAAGCCATGTTTTTGTTTGACCACTACTGTCTCTTTTCCAACCTGATCCATCCTACGTCAGCTAATATCTCCTGTCGGGGAAGGCCTTGTCTAGGCATGCTTAATGCATATCCTAACCATCTCAATCGGTATAACTTCACAACCTCGTCAATTGATTTCTCCTCCTTACCTAAAAACTCGACGCCTAACCTCAATATCGCTCACCTTATTGTACCACTTAACACGGGAAATAGAACACAGGCATCTATGATCACAGACAGTTAGCCTTTTCATGTCTTCCATTTTCAGTGGCCAGGTCTCACAGCCATAGAGGAGGATAGAGTGGACTGCTGAGGAGTACACACGCCCTTTGGCCGATAGCCGGATATCACATCTAGGCCAGAGACGGCGTAAGTTGGCATATGCAAAATGAGCCTTCTGTATCCTTGCTGAGGTTTCGTCAGCGATCAACCCGTTGGGGCTGATGCCACTAGATGTGTATGAGTATTTTTCCCAATTTTTCAAGGCATTGGCATCGTTGAAAATTTTGTCGATGTTATTGCAAGTGTATATGATTATTTTAAGTTGACAAATATCTGTTATTACTTGAGAGTAAATAAAAAATGCAATGTATGTTGGAGGCTGTGAAACATAGCATCTAAAAGTAAAAGATATAGAAAAGTCACAGGTCTTTGTCTGTAGATGTTCTCACTTACTTTCTGTCTTTGGAATGAAGTAACATGGTAAATAACCTTGAGACTAGGTATAATGTATTAGAAAAGTAGATAAGCCAATCTATGGGACTATAATTCTCCATCAACTGATGTGTCTAGCACATAGGCTACTCCCACCTAACCATCACGTTTCTTTACTGACAATTTTGGCTAAGATAGGATTAGATTAAGCAGCTGGGCAAGGTCAGGCTAAAACTATTGGTCTCGGTCATGAAGCGATATTTGTAACAGCAGAACACGGTGGCTTTTGCTAACGGTACTGTTTATGGGCAAACTGATGTACAGATATATATATATATATATATATATATATATATATATGCGTTACACTGGAATGACCATTTGCACATGTTCTCTGTATTTCGCCCCTTCCGTCTTTCTTTCATGTTTTTTTGTATTATTTCACAAGGATTTCTCATTCCTTCTCGTAGTCATCTACTCCATCCCTCCGCTATTCAGCATTCTTGCAGAAGGCAATGTACACATTATACTACTTTCAAAATCTTGTCAGTAGTACCCAGCACATTTACATTATCTGAGTACGCTCATCAAGATGCTAAGAATCTATGTTAGTTGAGTCTTGGTGAAATGGTTCAAAATCGTTCACAATAGATGAGATATATTTACTCCTTGTTATCTAACAAGGTGTGAAAAAATTCACAAAAATTCGGTTTTATGAAACTCAGAGGTTTCAAACAAACACCCATTGTGTGGTTAAATCATTGTATGAGCAATTGCTGAGTTAAGTGACGGCAGAACTCTGTCGCCTTCTATGAGTCATACGCATTTTGCTTGCTGAGCCATAATCTACCCTAAGACCTAATGTATGTAGTTTGGTTAAGTTAAAAGAATCATATATGACGCTAATCCGTTAAATGTCGTAGGTTTATTCTTTTCAGTCGATGGAACAACTGAAATGTGGTTGAAGAGTTTCGACGGTATACCTCAGTATGTGTCATAGTGGGTGTGGTGAAGACACATCCACTTCCTGCCTCCACGAATTACTCCCTAACTTTGCATTATTTTATATTCCTGTTTCCATCCAGTCTGTTGCATGTACTTGATTTTCCCCCAATTATATACAACATAATATACTTGTTTTTATCCTCTGACTTTTTTGTTATCATTTTGTTTAACAGAGGTGTGGGTTAAGGAAGAAGAATACCTTTTTTTTTAAAGATTCATACTTATCTCTCTGAAAACTGTTAGTAATCTTTATCCTGCTTATTTTTACTTCAGTAATCTTAATCTCCTTCGTGACACTGTCAAATTGTTGGAAAAACATATGGGAGGAGAAATTTCTCCTGAGGCTAACACTAAAATAATGTCAATGATACAAAATCTCAATTGTAAGTATATCCTCAGAAATTTTCTTTTTGTAACCCTTTTTTATCGTCTTCAATGTAATTCAACTTTAAGATTAAGATTCTACCTGTACAAGTCAATGTACTCTCGTCCATTCACTTTGCTGTTGTACAAGGCAAGTAATAATAAATAAAGAGTGATAATAATAAAAATTAGTAAACTGAATTACAAAGCAAAATAGTTCATAATACAATAAATTTTGCCAATTCCAAAAGATAAAAGATACGATAAATAGAGTTTGGTGAATTATTGACCAGATAAATTACTAGTCAGTAGAGGAGAATCTTTCGAGTGGAACCTGAATGGGAAGCGGTGAATCGGTGGTCAATGCGAGGGTGACATGGAGGAGGTCATGCGAAAAAGAGATGAAAGCATGTGGGCAGATGTGGAGCCAGGTGAAAACGTTGGCGCAGAACCGAACGCGATGGAGACGTGCGGCTGAAGCCCTATGTTCCTCTAGGAACCAAAGGAAACAATAATAATTATAGGAGAATCTAAGGTGTTGTTTTATCAGGCTGGTATTGATTGTAGATCATTCCCGTTTATAAAAGAAACAGTGGCAACATCAACGTGTTTCACGTTCAACAAAGTCGTTTTGAAAGTATGAAAAAGTACGAAAAAGATGAAGTAGCTATAGTTGTTTGTACTATTATATGGAGAAAAAGGCTAACCTTCTCTATACAGTATTGTTTATTTTGATTTTTGTTCTTACAAAAGGTTTAATTCCGAAAACGGAAAAATCTGTGGAACATCTGAAACGGTTTTTCAATCAAACCCACACAGATAAAGACCTTCGAAAACTTTTGGTAAAACTGACAAAACCACAATATACTTGTGAACAAGTAGTAGACACACTAGTAAGTTTTATTTTCTTATTGATGATAACGTTTTTGCTGAAAAAAATATTCAGGTTTTTCAATCTGATAGCCAGTAAGATGTGTCTGAGTACCTAGATGTTTAGACTTCTTGGTCTGTTGTACACCTTTAATCCATTCTCTTGCTATTCCAGTTAGACAATGAAAGAGGAATAAATAGTCCTAGATGAAGCGAATCAGTAATTAGAAGTTAATTGGTGGATGGTGACTGACTAGCAGTGGAATCCAGGATGCGCATTTCGTCCTATTTGGGACCCGTTACACAAGAGGTTTGTCTCTCGTGGCCCAAGTGGTCTAGTGGGTAGTGCTTTGGCGTTTGAAACTATGGGCACTGATTTCGAGCCTCGGTGGGAACATCATCACTCACTGGGGAATGCAGGTACATCCAGTTGATGAGTCACAAACGGGACAAAATGCACATCCTGCATTACACTGCTAGTTATCATCCACCAATTAACTTCTAATTACATGCCCAGACATCGTCGAAGCATCTGCACAAGAAGCCGACATGTCAACCTGAGACCGAGCACTTTGGTCCAATCAATTCAATTAAACAAATCAGTAATTGTTTGTGCTATTTATATGAAAAAGCTTATGACATTTATGTGAAACTCTTCAGACAATATGAGTTATATAGCTTTGTTAGTTTGTAATATAGCGCTACAACCAACCGATACCATCGATAAGCAGCATCCACTTCATCTTGTTGAGATAGTAGCCACGACATCTCATTACTTCAGCACATCCATCCAGTAGCCGCCAATAGACTGAAATTGATACTGAGACTGGGTTTTGTAGAAATTTCAATTAATTTCAAGGTAGATTTCGTCATTTTTGACAGACAATTAGTAGATTTTATGCTTTTTGTAACTCGTATTTCCTACAATATTATTTCCCAGGGTTCCTAGTAAAACATAAGGCTTCGACAGAACATCTCTATTTCACCCTGTTCTCTGCAGTCATTTTTGAATACCTGTAATCTTCCATTTCCTCCTCACACGATCTCCTTCATGTCACCTTCGGACGCCCAACTCACCGTTCCCCATTTGAGTTCCACTTGAGGGCTGGCCTAGCGCTCAATGTCCCTCAACGATCGTGTGTCCAAACCATCCCCATTTTCTTCGTCATACTTATTGAGCGATAGGTTCTTAGTTCATTCCCAGAGTTTCTTCGTGCTAATTCTTTCTGATCGACCATCTGATCTTCAGTATGGAGCCAGCGAAGACAACTGTTGGTGAAAGTCTTCAGCCTGTGGGAAATGCTTTTCATGACCCACCAATTCTCTGAATCACATAGAAACGCAAACTTGACATAAGTGTTGAAAATCCGAGTCTTGTTCTTCATGCTGATTGTAGTAGATTTCCACACTGATCTTAGTTTAAAGAATGTCTGTCTTGCTTTTCCGATGCTGAATGACTTTGACTTCCTTATCCATTCTACTTGTAGTTGAAATGATGCTGCCTAGATTAGTGAAAGGAGAATGACTTCTTTCAGCTTTGATGTTAACTGGTGCTTGTTGCTGTTGTTTAGGTATCTTCACCACCTCTGTCCTCTCTATGTTCACTGGAAGTCTCGCCATCACTGATTCTTCTGACAATTTGTTGGTTTTCTCCTGTAGACTTTCGAGTTTGAGTCATATTGGAAATAAATCGTCCGCGGAGCTAAGACCTCATAGCGTCTTCTTATCAGTCCAACGTTTATTCTTGTCTTCTTGCTCCCTGTGGTCCACCTTATGATCCAATCTACTAGAATCAGGAATATGATCAGTGACAGCAAAGGCAACTTTGTCTTATTGTTGTCTTCTCATCAAAGGCCTTGCTGAACTCTTGCAATTTGATCAGCACATGATTTGTTTTTCCTGAATGCAGCTTTTTCTGTGCGGAGATTTGTATCCAAAACATCTTTTAGTCCCATCGGAGTTACGCGACTTAATATTTTGCTTGGTGTGGACAGGAACGTAATTCCGCACCAGTTCTTGCAAAGGTCTAGGTTACCTTTTCTAGTAGCTTGGTAAGTAATTTTCCTTCCTCCCAAACCTTCTGCAATGGTGGTGTGTGGACATCCGCTGAGGTCTCCAAGTCCATTTCCCCCAAAATATTCATAGCTATTTAAACTTCGGCTGGTGTTAACTTTATAAGGATAACACTGATATTTTGTTAGAGCAAAAGTGTTTGAAATTGCTGTAATCTTTCTTTTCATTTCTTAGAAGGAAATACTGAGGAAAATCGGTAAAACAACAGGTGCTGTAAATAATACCAGCGATAACCAAACGAATTATTCACGCGTTGTCAAAATGTTATTGGAACGATGTGCACCAGTTCTTTTTGATAAGGAATTTGGCAAAGAGTTAATGAGTCAGCTCATGGTGGACAACCAGTCTTCTTCTTCTACATCTGGGACTACTGAATCCATAAGTGTTGCACGCTCACTACGTTTGTTGCTTGCAATATCTGTTTACTTTAAAGTGAGTTCTTTTATATATCTATACATAAATGCATACGCGACAGACTTCAAGATAGATCATGAACCGACATCATTTAGAGAATCATTAAAAATCAAGGAGTCACTGGACATCTGCTTCTTCACAGTGTTTGACACTTCAGCAATACCCACCCATGACGCAACCAACCGGAAATCGAACCTGGGATCGTCATGTTACGAGGCAAACCCCACCGATCAGTCAGCCACCAAGACAAGACCGAAATCCAGTGGCTCGTAAATTCAAAAACTTCTGCCAGTTAACGGAATGCAACAGAAATGCGTTCAGTCCAAATCGATTTCACATTTCGTTTTAAATGCTTATACATAATTTTATTTGATAAGATAGATTAATTATTTTTTATGTGATGTTTAGTTGTAAAGAATAATGAATTAGGGTAGGAATAAGAAGAAGACAGGAAACCATCTGAATGATGAGACTATTTGTACAAATCCCTTTTTTGAAGACTAGATGGCAATGGCTTTTACTATGTGATATATGTGACTAATTCGTGTTATAGGTATATATATATATATATATATATATATATAATTGTAAGTGCGCTGATAATATATCCGCCTGATGACTAATTGCAACTAGGTTTCCAAGTACAGATCTTTTTATTGTCTCAATTTTTTGTTGTTTTTCATGTATTGTGTGTAGCCTACTGACACAGTAGGTCTTGGATTCGAATTCCTCTCCATTTACTTCACCATGAATAACTGAGTAATAACATTAGTCCTCACATAACCTTGTGATTATCAAGCAAATCTTGATGCCTCTACGTACCAATGTGATTTTCTCCAAGTCACCGGCTAGTAGCTCCTCAGAGAACGACGTCAGCCAAGTGGGATGAATTAATCAAATGAAAGTAAACAGAATTACGCGTTGGTATTGTATCTTGTTATGGTCATTCTTATTTTTATCTTCAGCGTAGGCATTTTTGAGACACTCACCTTTCCCTTCCATTCTATTTAATGAAATATGTAATATTGCCATTTGAATTGTTTTTGTATTTCATATTTCTTGTTACTTTGTATTCTTTGCTCATATTTTCTGTTCTATACCGTCACTAATATTACGTGTTAGTCACATATTACATATTTGTGCCTTCCTCGACTGACGGGCAATGTTAGCTGACATAGGATGGATCAGGTTGGAAAAGAGACAGCGGTGGTCAAACCAAAACCAACGTGGCTTCATCAGTCAATGAAATCCACAACAGTCAGTTTAATCCAGCCAACCGCGTAGGGAGGTGTAAACTTCCTGACTGGTTGGGGTTCGTTGGATGGTAAGAACCAATGACTGCTGGAGACAATCGGAGATATGGCTCAAAACCGTTGTCAATGGTTAGCGCAGATACTTCCACAACTTGTGATTTATCATATACAATAAAACCATATTGTTCTTCTGAAAGAAACAACCTCTTTTGCCTACCTGGGAAGCATCGTTTCAACTACAGGCGGATGGAACTGACGAGGATATCAAAGCAAGAATCGGAAAAGCAAGACAAACTTTCACTACTCTCAAGTCTGTGTGGAGGTCAACAGCACTCAGCATCAAAAATAAGATCCGGATTTTCAACTCCAATGTGAAGTTAGTGCTACTATACGGATCAGAGACTTGGCGCGTCATAAAGAGCATCACAAACAAACTACAGACCTTCATTAACAGTTGTCTTCGCTCACTACTCAAGATCAGATGGCCGGCCAGAAAAAATCAGCAACAGAGATCTCTGGCAGTGAGCGAACCAACCAGGAACCGATTGTGAAACAAATAGGCAGGAAGAAATGGAGGTGGACTGGCCATACTCTGAGGAAACCATGAAGAGAGTGACATCACTAGACAAGCCATTGCTCGAGTGGAACCCGAAAGGGAAGCGGTGAGTTGGTCGTCAATGCGAGGGTGACTTGGAGGAGGTCATGTGAAGAGGAGATGAAAACGTGTGGGCGGAATTGGAGCCAGGTGAAGACTTTAGCAGAGAACCAAACGCAATGGAGACGTGCAGCTGAAGCCCTGTGTTCCTGTAGGAATTAAGGGAAACAGTAATAATATTGTTCCTCGATATTGCTATTCTTTTTGCTTCATATTTGTGTTTATTATCTCTATTTTGGATCTCTCTTTTCTGCCTTCTCTTGCTTTGTGTGCCACATAGAGAGAGAGTGGCAATTCGAACTGCTGCACATCTGTGCAAAGTTCTATGTTGAAACCAGTCAGTCAGTTATATATTACATACTTTTCTAGTAAAATAGTCAGTGTTTAATTTCACCTTTCATTATCTATTTTTTACTTCAGGAAATCCTACCGCCAGGAGAAGTAATAAATTATTTACTAAGCATTTTATCTGATACAAATTATTCAGAAAATGGTGGCGCTGTTGACGAAATTAAGTCAACTTCAGTTAATTCTGATTGTGATCCATCCACTCTACAAGAGATTGCGTTAAATGTAAGTAATAAATCATTACTGGTTTGTGTATCATATGCGTTCTACGAATTTGAATTGTAGTAAAGTTGCTAATGTTATCAATATATTCTAGAAACTAGTTTTTGTAAAAAATATTCATCAGAATTTGAAGTTTAAGGTATTCTTCTAGTTGAAAGAACACACAGGTTGAGTAACATTCAACAGAAAAGTCTGTCTAGACTTCTGTGTGCTGCGCAGTTTTTCCGACAGTTTGTAATTATTTCGGTAATAAATAACTCCTAGTTTACATCACATTTGTTTCACAGCTATTGTTAATTAGTGTCATTTTGTGATATCTGACTATTGACCAAAGAACGTGTGCACTGCTCAGCAGTCCGCTCCGCCCTCCTTTATCCCTGTGAGTTAGACATGGCCATTGAGAGTGGAAGATATGAAAAGTATGGTTAGCTGTCTTTGATCATAGGTACCTGTGTTCTATCTCCTGTGTGAAGTGGTATAATAAGGGGAGCAAATTTGAGGTTAGGCGTCGAGTGCTAGGTAAGGAGGGGAAATCAGTTGACGAGACTGTGAAATTACATCGACTGAGATGGTTAGGACATGTGCTACGTATGCCTAGTCATCGCCTTCCTCGACAGGCAATGTTAGCTGATATAGGACCAGGCTGCGAAAGAGCTAGCGGTGGTCAAACCAAAACATGGCACCAGTCAATGAAATCTACAACAGTTAGTCTAAGCCACGTAGGAAGGTGTAGACTTCCTGGTTTGGGTCCTCGGGACGGTAAAAACCAATGGTTGGAAACAATTGGTGACATGGCTCAAAATCGTTCTCAATGGCTCGTGCAGATGCATCCACTCCTTGTGACTTATGATTTCCAATTAAACTGTTTTGTTCTTCGTTATTACTATACCTTTGTCTCACACCTCTGTTTACTGTCTCTAATGTGAATTTCTCCTATTTTCTTCTCTTGCTTTGTGTGCTTCATGGAGTGTGGCGACTTGAACTGGCGCACATATGTGCAAAGTTCTATGTCGAAAACCGACCGACCGACCATTTTTTGATCGGACCTGATAGGATATGTGTTATCCACTTGCTTTAATTAACCTCTGTTTTTTTTTTCAGATACTTTGCTGTATACTCGGCCGTGGTACAAGTGGTTCATTTTATACCCCTGAATCTAATGATGCCATACAAAATGCTGCTGTTCAACAGTCGCTAATTAACTGTGCTCATTTGAGTAGATGTTCACAAGAGCTTTTGCCAATCTTACGTCACTTTTGTTGTACTGGAATAACTGTTAGTGCATTAGAATCCAGCCAAGACAAAAATGTCTCAAAAAACTCCACTAAAAGTATGTTTTTTTTGTAAACTTAACACTGTAATTGTTTATTTTCACAATACGTCTACATGTCAGTGGATCACTTTCTTGTAGATTATTTCTGATGGTATTATCTACTATTTCTTAGCCTTTTTTATTCAAAATGTTGACTACTTTGTTGCTGTTTTTTTGAGTCGGATTTCAAGGATCTTAAATTTCGTCTTTTTTCCCTCTTCCACCTGTCCAAACTCACTTTCAAAGCTAATCGTGGATATGGTGTGAAAAAACTTTCACCCGGTCCGACTACAGAAGAAATCGCTCAGATGGGTCTTGTTTGGCGTCGTGAACGACGACGTTCCAAGTTGTCAGTACGCGTTCTGTTTTGTTTACTTGACGTTGTACATCAGCTAATGTGTCCACTTGTTGACCTGGACTCGGAGGATGATAAATTGGTAAAGAAGAAATCTCCTGACAACAGGATGAAACTAATTTCGTTGGAGTCGACAATTAAAGAAACTCTCAATGAAATAGTTAAAGTAAGTCTTAACATTATTTAACTGAATTGAATTAAATAATTAATAATATGACCCGTTGCACAAGAGGCGTGGCTCTCGTGGCCCAAGTGGTCTAGTGGATAACGCTTTGGCGTTTGAAACTATGACCACTGGGTTCGAGCCTCGCTGGGAACATCATCACTCACTGGGGAATGCAGGTACATCCAGCTGGCGGACGAGTCCCAAATAGGACGAAATGCTCATCCTGGCTGGATTCCACTGCTAGCCATCATCCACCAAATTAAGTCTTAACATTGTTTGTGGCATTGAACACAGAGTTTCAATTCCAATTTCCAGTAATATTCCAAAATTATTATGTAGTGCATATTCTGCTAATGAATGTCTCAATAGATTATTTTATACCGCCTGATTAATCTGTATTGTAATTTGCTTTGAGGAAATGAAGTGAAATCGATATGCAGTATTTTACTTACTTAGAATATCACACTTGTTTTTACAAGCTACTTTTAAGTAAAGATATTAAAGGCTTACTGAGAATTTGCTGTCTTATATCCAACTTGTCCGAATTATTAGAAATCCTACTCTTTGACTGACTAACTGACTGACTGGTTTCAACGTAGAACTTTGCACCGATGTGCAGCAGTTCGAGTCGCCACACTTCACTCACCACACAAAGCCAGAAAAGAAAGTAAAAAGAAACTCAAAATAGAGACAGTAAACAGAGATATGAGGCAAAAATAGTAGTAATATCGAAGAACAACAGTTTTATTGTATATTATAAGTCACAAGGAGTGGATGCATCTGCGCTAGCCATGGACAACAATTTTGAGCCATATGACCAATTTTCTCCAGCAGTCATTGGTTTTACCATCTCGAAGACCTCAACCAGAAAGTCTGCATCTCCATACGTGACTGGCTTAAACTCACTGTTGTGGATTTTATTGACTGATGAAGCCATGTTTTGGTTTGACCACCAGTGGCTCTTTTCCAACCTTCTACTAAGTCAGCTAACATAGCCCCTCGAGGAAGGCGATCGACGGCTAGATATCTACGCGTAGCACACTTCCTAACCATCTCACTCAATCAATGCTACTTCACAACCTCGTCGATCGATTTCCCCTCCTTACCTAGCACTCGATGCCTAACCTCAAATTTTCTCCCTTTAGTATACCACTTCACACAGGAGATAGAACACAGGTACCTATGATCATAGACAGCTAGCCATACTTTTCATATCTTGCACTCTTAATGGCCATGTCTAACTCACAGGGATAAAGGAGGGCGGAGCGGACTGCTGAGCAGTGCACACGTTCTTTGGTCGATAGTCGAACATCACGTCAACACCAGAGATGGATTAAGTTGGCATATGCAAAACGAGCCTTCTGTATCCTTGCTGAGATTTCGTCAGCGATCATCCCGTCGGGGCTGATGTAACTTCCCGAATAAGTGAAGTGGTCAGCACGCTCTACCATCTCACTCTTTATTTATAAGCTAGGAGTCAATGTAGTTCAGTCCTGTAGCATCATTCGTAGATTGTTTGTTATGCTACTCTTTACAAAATAAGTGTAAGATATATGCTTACTGAATCTAATTCTATCACAAGATAACATTGTATACTGTTGGTAGCGTTCTCCGTGTGCGATAAAACCAACGAGTGAGGTTGTAAAGCGCTAACACATAGCAATAACCAGTTGCTTAAAGAAGTAACATGATCACCAAAAAAATGTGTGTCCAGAGGTGGTGTATTTCAGTACTTTCCTGTATTCCCGGTTTCTTTTGATTGTGACCGCATTATATTTAGCAACTTAGATAGATACAGTTATACCCAAGTTGAGAATTTGATCAAGGATTACAGAGTATACACTAGTAACCAGTTGTAGGATGTGTTACTATTGTGATCCTCTTTTAGCCTTTTTCTTCAGCATTGAACACTAAGAGTGCAACTTCATGACGCATATCATTCGTTCACAATCAGTTGTACTCAAAGTGGAATATAACACTGTTAAATGTTACAATTCAGTCAATAGAAAGTTAAACTTGTTAAAGTGTTTATTCTTCCCGAAGTTCAAATTTGGCTGTTTCAATGTTGAAGTCAGAGACTATTCTTATTGAGAATAGATACCGTGTAAATGTAGATGATGTTGTACTCAAATTGAATACAGAATTTCAACCAACATGACTGTCAGGGTGTTCTTTGCTAATTGAAATCTGTAGTCGACTAAGTCTGCAACGTACGTATACATGAGTGTTGTAGTGCATTATTGTTTTGTTTTGGTATTAAAAAAATATCCAAAGTTAATTTGTTTGAATTCAACAATCAGAATCCTCTACTGCTGAAAATTAATTTCTCTTGCCTGTTTTATTCCTTTAGGTTTGTATTTCGTGTCCTGTTCTATCCAGTGAATATATAGCCTGTCTAACTTCATTAAATCATATTGCATTATTATTTCCTGGTACTTATAACGATGAAATTAAGACTTTGATTACGAAATCTTTGGTGCAACAAGTGTTACCATGTGAACCAGGTGATTCACCCAATGGAGAAGAAGAAGATAAAAATCATGCTAAATTAACTGTATTGCCAAAGTATTCCAAACCAGGTGATAACCTTAGCACTTGGTGTCCTGATGGATTGATAAGCGATTTGACTAAAGCAAAGGTAAGTTCTGGTGTTATTGTTTTTTTAAGTACCTACTGCGATTCTAAACTTCTACAGATGCAACTGTGTCATACAAAGTTCCGAGTATTTTGAGGTTAAGATAACCAAATTAGGAAATCATGGCAGTAAAGGAATTAGTGTAAAACATAATGGTGCTTGGGAGCCAAATGGTTGGGCGAAATCATGTGTAGCGTGATGATAAAGTATAAAAATCTTACATTGAAACTTTAATTTGCAAAACGTATTCGTATTAGGCTTCTGTTATCTTCATTTCATGTTTTCCATTTTACCTTACAATGATCTTCATCTCTGCTGCACACAACTGAATTTAAAAAAGTTTGACTATAACCAATTTAGTACGGGAACAATTTCCGTTACGCTGTTATTATTATTATTATTGTTCCCTTGGGTTCCTAGTGGAACATAGGGCTTCAACTGCACGTTTCCACTTGTTTCTGTCTTCTGCTGTGTTTTTCACCTACATCCATGTTAGTCCATACTGTTTCAACTCCTCTTCACACGATCTCCTCCATGTCACCCTTCGACGTCACACTCGCCGCTTTCCTTTCGGGTTCCACTCGAGCACTGACCTGACGCGCGATGTCACCCAGCAGCCTCCTCAGCGAGTGTCCAATCCATCTCCACTTTCTCCTGCATATTTGTTGGGCGATTGGTTCTTGTTTTGTTTGTTCCCATAGTTTCTTGTTGGTGATTCTTTCCGGCCATCTGATCTTCAGTATAGAGCCAGCGAAGACAGTTGTTGATAAAGGTCTGCAACAGGCTGTTGGAAATATTCTTTGTGACCCGCCGCCACGTTTCTGATCCGTATAGAAGAACTGACTGACTTGACGTTTGTATTGAAAATCCGAATTTTGTTGTTGATGTTGAGTGACGAAGATTTCCAGATTGGTTTCAGGTTGATGAATGTGTTTCTCGCCTTCCCGATTCTCGATTTGACATCCTCGTCCGTTCCTCGTGTAGTTGAGACAATGCTTTGTAGATAAGTGAATGAAGTAACCTCTTTCAAATCCCTTCCGTTGATGGTGATTAGCGCTGGATGTTGCTGCTGTTGTTGTTGTTGGTTGGTTATTTTCATAACCTCCGTCTTGTCTATGTTCACCTGGAGTCTTGTCTTTGCTGCTTCTTCGACCAGTTTGTCGGTTTTCTCTTGTAAGTCTTCGATTTTGTGTGACATCAAACATAAATGATCTCCGAAATCCAGGGCTTCTAGGTTATTCACGTCGGTCCAGGATATCCCTGTCTTCTCGTTTCCAACTGTCTGACGCATAATCCAGTCCACCACAATTAGGAATATCATTGGTGATAATAAGCACCCTTTCCGTTGTGGATCACTTGACATGTACCGTTGTCATACAGCTGTTGAATAAGGTTGATGAATATTCGGGGTACGCCGTAGTACTCGAGTAGTTTCCAAATTACTTCACACTATTAGTGTACTGCTTGCTAATTGTTGTAGCGTCCTAAATTCCTGTTTTATATTAGATAAACATTTTGGCAATGGTAAAAAACATATATCTCTTCAGTTCTGGGTTAGCTTGCATAGCGAAATCAGTTGAAGTCAGTGTACACAACGTAAATATATTACCTTCTATGGGGTATTGTAATGGGATTTGGATTATTGAAGTGTGTATACAAGAGACTAGGCTACTAGCTCTATGCATTTACGATTTCAAGGTTTTCCTTGTTTGTATCTACATAAGCATTCATATATCCGAACTCTGTATTAACGCAATCAACGAGCGGTATTCATAAGGATCCAGAGGTTTCATTATGGGTAAATTTTTATTTTGATAAAGTCTCACAGTGGTATACAGTAATATTTACTGATGACGTTTCGAGCACAATTTATTGCTCATAATCATATCAAGGTAATCACACGACTTCCTAAATTCATTTATATAGTTCCATTGTTTTTCACTTGATTTGATTGGTAGTATTATTTTCCATATTTCAGGTATGAGTGATGATTCATTCCTATTGCATGTGTTGGGTTTAGATTCGATGAACAAAGATTCAGTAATCAACCTCTCTATCCACCTACCTAGATTACTTTTTAGAATTTTAACCCTCTCCCACCCTATTGTGTGGTTGTGTGTTAATGCATGCATTGCAATTGCTGAGTTTTTTTCTAAATTACTTATCTTCTCTGGGTCAACCATTCTTACCTTAGCTAAATTCTTATGTTCTGACAATCTGACTACCCCTGACCTACTAGTTTGACCTATGTAGTTGACAGTCATTGCAGGGTATTTTGTGAATTATATTATTTTGTCTAATTGGATCCACTGGGTCCTTTAACCTACAGAGCTTGTCCTCCCTGAGTGAGTTTGTAGGTTTAAATGCCACCCTAATTCCTGCTTTATTTAGAATCCTACGTAGGGTCTCAGATGTCCCCTCTTTATATGGTATAACTGCAGATGACTTATATTCTCTCTTATTTATGTTATTATTACTAGTTTCACAATTATTTTTATTTTTCTTTTGGCGTTTTTCAATCTTCCTAATGAATTTTAGAGGATAGTTATTTAGAACCAACGCCTCTTCTATCTGTTTTATTTCATCATTAAGGTCTTTATTTGTGCTACTTAGTGCCATTGCTCGGTTTGTTAAACACTTAACTAAGTCTGCCTTAACAGTTAAAGGATGAGATGAATTAAAGTCTAAATATCTATTAGAATGCGTTGGTTTTCTATAAACACTAGTGTGTAGTTTGCCTTCTTCTATTCGTTTTATTTTACAATCTAACATAGCTAATTCTCCTTGCTCATTTTCGGTTTCAAATGTGAATTTTATTCCCTCCACTAGTGAGTTTATGTGTGTCAAGAAGCTAGAGATATGTTCTGTTTTTAACACTGTGAAAGTGTCATCCACATATCTTCACCATATTTTTGGAGTGGGATTAAACGTGTTGAGTGCCATATTTTCCCAGCTATCCATAAATATATCTGCTACGATAGGGGATATTGGTGATCCCATTGCTACACCTTCAGTTTGTCCATATATTTTGCCTTGGAATTTAAATATAGTAGATGTGAGGCATAGCTGAATCCCTAAAATAATTTTTTCAGTGGACAGCTTTGTCCTATGATTGAGTTCAGTATCCGCAGTTCCAGTTACCACGTTCCAAATAGTACACAAAGGTAGACAAGAAAATGAGTGAAGAGAATCAATAGAGTTTTGACAAGTACAAGAGTGAAACAGAATGAGTAATGGTAGAAAGGAATATGAAAGATAACAGAGACTGAATACATCTGCGTAAGCCATTGACAACGATTTTGAGCCATGTCACCTATTGTCTCTAGGCATTGATTCTTAGAGTCCTGAGGGCGGGCCCCAACCCCGAAGTCTGCATCTCCCTACCTGACTCAGTTTAACTGTCAAGGATTTCATGGATTGATGAGGCCATGTTTTTGTTTGGCCACCACTTACTCTTTTCCAACCTGCACTTATATCAGCTAGTAATGCCCGTCAGGGGGTGGGAGGCGATGGTTAGGCATTCGCAGCACGTGACCTAGCCATCTCAATCTATGTAACTTTATAGCCTCTTCGATTGATTTCCCCCCTTTGCCCAACACTCTACGCCTGACGTCAACATTACTTACCTTATGATACCACCTAACGTGAGAAAGAGATCGTAGACATCTACGATCAAAAACAGTCAACCTTTTCATGTCTTCAACTCGTATTGGCCATGTTTCAGAGCCATAGAGAAGGACGGAGCGAAGTGCTGAGCAGTACACACGTCCCTTGGTTGATAGTCGGATGTCACGCCTACGCCAGAGACGGTGTAAGTTAGCGAAATATGGGAAATACTAATACCAATCAAATCAATCGATGAAAAATAATGGAACTCATATAAACGAAGGTAAAACGTTGTGTGAATACCTTGATATGATTATGAGCGGCAATAAATGGTGCTCGGAACGTGGTCATCAGTAAATATTACTGTACAGCAACACTGAGACTTTAGCAAAATAAATTTTACCCACAATGGAATTATACTCTACCACAGTGCACAAGTTCTATTCTTATACCAAGGTCATATCTTAATCGATTAAAACAAACCGAACGCAAGGAAATATATGCAATAAAGAGATGGAAGTTTTTTGTTGCCTAAGTTTTAAGCAGACCGCCAAGATAAAATTGTAGTTATGCTTTAAAGTTCAGTCAAGTGCTCATCTCCTTTTGGCTTTTTTCTCTCTCCTCAGCATGTAGTCATTTTCTACTCCATCAATTTATTTTTCCGTGTTGAGAAAAAGGAATATTTCGTTTTCTTTATCTGTTATTCTCTGATGGCTTAACACTTTTGTCTGACTAATAAACAGTTCTTTTTAATCCTTATTGTTACATTCCTTTGCTTAGAACAGGTTTACAGTGTCTTCTCATCTCGCATTACTATCTACACTGATTTTATTTAACCTTTTCATATTTTATCTTTTAAAAGTAGGTATACTTAGATTAAGTTGTATGTAGTTGACTTTGGTGTATAAATAATATTAAATTAATGATATTCATTTTGTTTTGAAAAGTATTTACTTTTGCTTGGTTGATAGCAAGTGTCCACTTCACTACACTTACTAAAGTTTGTAATACCTAAATAGTGGCATCAACCTTCATTTAAAGTGTATGGCCTACTCCTAGGTTTATATGTCGGTGATTCAATGGTAGGAATACTCGTCAGCCACGAAAGAGGTTCAGATTTGGTTCCCTGCTGATGTACCCCTATAGTCTGCATAGTTCGCTAGCTGGTATATTATTATTATTACTCCCTTGGGTTCCGAGTGGAACATAGGGTTTCAACAACACATCTCCACTGTCTTCTATTTTCTGTCGTCCTCTTCAGCTGGGTCAACGATTGACCATAATCTCTCATATCCTCCTCACACGATCTCTTCCATATCACCTTCGCACTGACAACCCACTCGTCGCTCACCATTTAGATTCCACTCGAGCGATGGCCTGCATTGCACGCTATGTCATTCGACGGTTTCCCCAATGTATACCCTATCCATCTCCATTTCCTCCTACATATTTGTTGAGCGATCGGCTCTCATCTGTTGGTTTGTTCTCAGCCAGAGTTTCTTGTTGCTAATTCTTTCTTGCCGGCCGCCCATTTGATCTTCAGTATGGAGCCAGCCAAAGCAGCTGATGATAAAAGTCTGCAGCTGGCTGTTGGAAATCCTTTTCGTGACTCACACACACGCAGTGCAAGTTTCTGACCCGTAAAGAAGGACCAGAAACTAGCTGGTTATAAGCCTCAATAATAGGGAAGATTGATTGTGAGGTTAGCGTGATCACAGCTACTGAAATTTCAAAGCTAGAAGGCCTTATTTTCCACTCGAAACGCAGAGTGGAAAAGAAATTCTTAGGTTTTTATCAGAATGTGTATAGTTGCCAAACACTGTTGAGCCTTTTACTTTTATTTTTGAGTAGAAAGAAAGGTCAGACAAAATATTGTTACATATTTTAAAGTCTTTTTTTGCAATTTTCATGAACAATACAAAATAAATGACTTCAATTTTTAGCTGCTTCTGTGTTGATTTTTTTTCGGGGAAAAGTGATTTCATATGCTAGAAATGTTACTCAGTAATAGCAGCTGTTGTACAATACGTATACAGACATTAATCCTATATGTTAGTTTAAGTAAAAGCAAAATTAGTGGTGCTCATAGGTTATCAGGTGCGTCGGTGGCACAATGGTTAGGATGCTCACCGACCATGCACATGGTCCGGGGTTCGATCCCTGGCCGACGCACTCCTTTACCTCACTAAGCCAGAAATAAAGCTGGTAAAGGGGGAAGGTTGGGCATGAGACTAGCAACCTCATCCTGTAAAAATAAACACTGCTAAAGAAACTTCAAGCCACTAGCTTGAAGCCCTATGTTCCACTGGGAACGTGAAGGAATAAAAAAAGGTTATCAGAATGCAATTTTATATCACACTGTTAAGTGTTCGTCTACTGATTGATACAAGTATATAATAATTTGTTTATTTGATTCATCACACAATGGAACAGAGTATTATTTACCAGTGTGTTGACGTTTCGAACACAGTTTTTATCCTTCACACAATCATGTTAGTTGTAACTACACAATTTTGAAAGTTGATTTTGCATAATGCCACAGTGTAAAGCCGAATAGATTTATTTTAAACTAAGTAATTCAAAATTGACGACTTTTTTTTAATCAGGCAGTTGATTTTTCAATTTCATGCTACAATTTATAAATTTATCATTATCTTTCCTAATTTATAATCGTCAAAAAGTGTCTATATAGCTAACAAAAAGTTGTCGATTAAGGGAGATTCACTTCACACTCTATACACTTTTGTTTCAATTATGGGCAAATTAATCATGCGCAGGATTAAATGCCTTTCTGTCTTCCTGTATATAATAATCGAGTGATTGTTAATGATCTACATAGTATATCGATTATATCGTATAGTCTTTGAAAATAGCCTGTCTGTCTCTCTGGTTTCAATATAGAACTTTGCACCGGTGTGCAGCAGTTTGAGTCGCCACAGTTCACTCACCACACAAAGCCAGAGAAGAAAGTAAAAAGAAACGCAAAATAGAGACAGTAAACAGAGATATGTGTCTAACAGAGTAGTAATATGGAAGAACAATATAGTTTTATTAGGTATTATAAGTCACAAGGAGTGGATGCATCTGCGCTAGCCATTGACAACGATTTTGAGCCATGTCACCAATTTTCTCCAGCAGTCATTGGTTTTACCATCCCGAGGACCTCAACCAGGAAGTCTGCATCTCCCTACTTGACTTAAACTGACTGTTGTGGATTTTATTGACTGTTGAAGTCCTGTTTTGGTTTGACCACCGTGGTTTCTTTTCCAACCTGACCCAGCACTTTAAAAGTACCTTAACCTTTCTCAAAATCCTTGTTCTGAAACATCTTAAAGTAGAGCTGTTTGTTTTGGTCCTAAATTTATTTACATAGTCTTACGTAAATAAAATATATAAAGCTCATGTTTTAAATATCAGCTTTCATAATGGGACTTTATTTTTCCATTACCGCTTATTTCCAACAATGCAGCAATTCATTTTCTTCACTGGGAAGTACCATCAGCCAGTGCCAGTGGGTTGACTGCTGACAAAATCTCAACAAGGATACAGAGGGCTAGTTTCGCATATGCCAACTTACGCCATCTCTGGTGTAAACGTCATGTTCGACTATCGACCAAAGAACGTGTGTACTGCTCAGCAGTCCGCTCCGCCCTCCTTTATCCCTGTGAGTTAGACATGGCCATTGAAAGTGAAAGACACGAAAAGCATGGCTAGCTGTCTTTGATCATAGGTGCCTGTGTTCTATCTCCCGTGTGAAGTGGTATAATAAGGGGAGCAATTTTGAGGTTAGGCGTCGAGTGCTAGGTAAATCAATCTACGAGGCTGTGAAATTACATCGACTGAGATGGTTAGGACATGTGCTACGTATGCCTAGTCATCGCCTTCCTCGACAGGCAATGTTAGCTGATATAGGACCAGGCTGCGAAAGAGCTAGCGGTGGTCAAACCAAAACATGGCACCAGTCAATGAAATCTACAACAGTTAGTCTAAGCCACGTAGGAAGGTGTAGACTTCCTGGTTTGGGTCCTCGGGACGGTAAAAACCAATGGTTGGAAACAATTGGTGACATGGCTCAAAATCGTTCTCAATGGCTCGTGCAGATGCATCCACTCCTTGTGACTTATGATTTCCAATTAAACTGTTTCATTCTTCGTTATTACTATTCCTTTGTCTCACACCTCTGTTTACTGTCTCTAATATGCATTTCTTCTACTTTCCTCTCTTGCTTTGTGTGCTACATGGAGTGTGGCGACTTGAACTGGCGCACATATGTGCAAAGTTCTATGTCGAAAACAGACAGACTGGCAATATTACATAATATACTGAATTTCAATTATTATTTTATTACTGCCGTTAATTGGACCAGATAGTGAGTCTTAGTTCCCAATCCAGCTTCACATACTTAAGGTTGGGTTGTTAGTGGCATCATCCCTCGCACTTAAGTTGTGGCTCATCAGCATTTATTCATTTAATTGTTGATTAACCTACATAACTTGTTCGTGTTACGTTTTATAAATCTGTTTGCGAATACAAAAGTTATCTTCGAGTTGTCATCACTTTTCCTGGAACCTGAAGAAACAATTATCTTGATGAGGCCTACAGTCAAGCGCTTTTGGAAACGCGGCTCATTGACTGAAACACTTTTTTTCAACTAGTTGATGTCGGGTTCGAATCCTTCCCGACCTACTTCATCTGCCTTCTCACAATAAGTGTAGCTCCATAGCACCTGGTACATGAAAAAACCTGTTCGGGTTAACTGAGTTCGAATACATGAGTTCTCCTTATTTTTCAAAGCTAATGACTATTTTTGACACAACCTATCGCAAAACTGTTTTAATATGTCTTTAGCGGGTAGCCATGTCACAATCCTTCCCATGATCAATTGTATTGAAAGAGTGATTATTTTCGCACCTCTGAATTTTTTTCTCACCTTTTTCTCTCTCTGTAGATTTCAGCTATAAAACTTATGACAAACTGGTTAGTTGGATTAAAAAATGAGGTGAAACCTGTTGCTCAAGCTATTATTCGCCTCATCTATCGTATTATTATTCATGATGGAGATTTGACAAAAGGTGGCAAACTTCCGTAAGTTTGTTGTTTTGCTGTAGAATTTTTGAAATCCACACTAAAATATCCTCTTTATCTGTGGCCGTATCACAAATCGACTAAGTTGGAATTCACAAGTCGATGAATTGCGACCCAAGTGGCTAAATAGCTGACCAGCTTGAATTCGTCCCTTGATGAGAGTCCCTGGTTCGATTCATGGTAGGATCATGGGTACGCGCTGATGAAGTGTTCGAAACTGTGACGAAACAGCTGTTCAGTGCTCTTTGATTTCCAGCAGTTCTCTAAATGATGTTGTTCCGTGACGACATCTGCACTGAAGTTGATCAAAGTTGTTGCGATGAGTCTGCTCAAGATGGACTCACTGCGTCTGGAGAAACTAATGGAAAAGTAGCTAAAACTGATGAAAATGCTTGCTGGTCTACACATATCACGACGTGCCGATTCATCTAGAGACAACGATAAAATTGGTAGCAGTATCTCAGAATTTGTTTATGACCCAGATGCAAATGTGATGTTCGATACCTGGTTTCGCAGATACGAGGACCTATTTCGAATAGACTTTGCAGATAAAGATGATGCCTGGAAAGTACAGCTTCTACTTCGTAAATTCGGTGCAGAGGAACTAGATAAATATTGCAACTTAATTCTCCCACAAAAGCACAGTGATCGATCATTCGATGAAACTTTCCAGACCCTTCGTGACCACAGATCCTTATTTAACATTCGATATCGTTGCACTAAACTATTTCTTGTCGAAAATGATGAAATCCATACTTGAAAACTAATCTGATGCTCACTAGCGACTGGCACTATTCAGGCAGTTAACCTGGGGTTCTTGTGGGAAACCGTGACCAGTAGGGTATAGCAGGTTGAAGATGAGGCGATAACTCATCAAAGAAGACATTGCAAAGTGATCGCACCATATCGTGAATCGGCAAAAGTTGGAATTCATGGGTTATTGGATCGGGGCCCTAGTGGCTCAGTCGTCTATGAGCTCGCCTTGTAACCAGAAGGTCCTGGGTTCGAACCTCCTTCGGTGGGTATGTACCTTAAGGGGTACCAAACTAGGAATGAGGAAACAGCTGTCCAGTACTCCCAGCTGGTTTTCCAATGGTTCTGTATCTGATGTCAGCTCATGATGAAATCCTCTAACCAATCAGACAAAATATCTACAAAACCAGTACTTTAAAATCAATACTCAGTTGGGGATATTCAGTCGCATGTGTAAACGTTTTGAATTGAAATCGCTGACAGAAGACCAGTTCAAAATGTTGATTTTCATTCGTGGTTTGCGGTCCCCTAAATTCGCCGACACGCACACGTCTATTAAATCGTCTGGAACAAGACCCACGAATGACTTTGAAAGACGTCGCTGAAGAATACCAGCGCTCAATCAATATTCATAAAGACACTATCCTGGTCCAGTCTGGCGGCCGCAATACAGCAAAAGTGCATGGTATGTATCCAGCACTGTCGACGTCAAAATCACCTCATGGTCCGCAGCAGACTCCGCCTTCAGCATGCTGGCATTGTGGGGCTTGGCGACGATGCCACACCATTGGTCGCAGAGGTGAATATTGTAAGCAGATTCTCCGACCAAAGTCTAGAAACTAATCCCGTCGACAACTGATGCCGAAATTCATGAGCATTACAGCTGCTTACGACATTAGCACTCCCGCTCCACGTAAATATGTTGAGATAGAAATAAATTCACAGCCTGCACGTCTGCAAATATACACGGCATCCGACATTACGATAATATTGAAGAGGTTATGGATACCGCACTTTGAAGAAGACTGACCAAATAGCAGTCGGTGCATGTGGTTGGAAACTCCCTATGACCGGACAATTAAAGTACAACATCGGGTTCCGTGAGATCCATTTTATCGGTACGCGCTTCGTGAATGATGCAAATCTGGGTTTACTGGGTTTGGATTGGTTTGCAAGCCTGCGGCTCTTGGAATTCGCCTTCAACAGTATATGCGACAGAGTTGAAGCGACAGATTCTTAGAGTTCCTTCCAAGAATTCAGGATGTGGTTCCAACAAGAATCCGGATGTTGCGAAACCATGGAAGCGGTCCTACAACCCAACACCACACCAGTTTTACGATCAAAAAGACCCGTCCTGTACACCTCACAACAACTAGTAGAAGCTGAGCTGGGAAGATTAGAAAAAGCAGGTGTCACAACTCCTGCACTCCAAACACCTGCTAAAAAGACACCAGAGCCTCAAAAACTAGCACCTTCAAAGTCGTCTTGGGAAGTAAGCATGACCACCAAAACTACCTAGTGCAAAAATACCTGTTCCTACTGCATCCAAATCCACAGCTAAAATTCTGTCACCTCCAATATTAGACCTTTGAAATCCCGTTGTTTGTTCACTGTTTAATTTACCAATGACAATGCCTCTCATGGTCATTTTAAAGATACATATACGCAAGTGCTGTCATTCTTTTTGAACTGTTGAGACAGTAGAAGCTTTCCTATCAGCGGCCAGTCTTTTTTCCCTCTGTCTTTGTGGCCTGGCGATGTTATTGTTGTTGCTGACGTACGACTAGGACAGATTAACCAGCACATTAAGTTAGTATTCGCTCATAATCTATTAGGTCGCATTCTGGCCACTCGAACTGCTGCACATCAGTGCAAAATTCTATGCTGAAACCAGTCAGTCAGTCAGGTCGCAGTTCCGGTCATAACAAAAAGTTAGCACCGTTTGGACATTGATTGATCTGTTTCTGAATCAGGGACACTTATCATGTTGCATATTGTAAAATGTGTGTATGTACCAGACACTCAGCCTATAGATTGGGAGTAATAAACGGCCTATAGTATGAAATTTCAGAGTTTAACAAACGTTTGCATGCTGGTCATATTTTTCCAGTTATGTGCCAGATATTGTCTTAGAATAACTAAATAATAAACTTTTCAAGTATTGGTTTTGTAGATATTTTCTCTCATTGGTTGGAGGATTTCATCATGAGCTGACATCAGTTAGAGAACCATTGGAAAACCGGCTGGGAGTACTGGACAGCTGTTTCCTTAGTCCTAGTTTGGGTCTCCTCACAGTACGCATCCACCGGGATTCCAACCCAGGACCTTCTGGTTACAAGGCCGACGAACTCGTAGACCGTTAAGGCACTGGGACCCGATCCAATGGTCCTTGAATTCTAACTTCTGCCAATTCACGATATAGCGCGACCATTTCGCAATGTCTTCTTTGATGAGTTATTGCCTCATCTTCAACCTGCTTTACACTACTGGTCACAGCTGTCCAGTACTTTCATGTTTTCCAGTGGTTCTCTAACTGATGTCAGCTCTTGATGAAATCCTCCATGTAATGAACTTTTATCTAAGGATATCTCATTTTTGATATAAGCAAGAAAAAAACTTGGGCATTGTGGTAGAGTATATCCCCATTATAGATAAGATATCTCATTTTTTCTACGCTTCGGAGGTAGTAACCCTCAGTTTTTTCGTTGGGTTGTTGCTTTTTTTATATTGTTTTCATTGCCCATCAGTTAGTGTATTAGGGGGTGTAAAACCCAAAGCATTTTGCATAATTTTCTCCTGTTTTACCTTATTTATTCTCCTTGATAATCCACATTTTTATACTCTCAACTTTTAGATATGGTGAAATGTCACGTATGCGTTTAGTAGCCGCCACTTCCTGGTTGAAGCTTGCACGCTGTCAGGCTTATGTGGAGTGTATCGAAATTGGATGGTATTTGTCGATGACTTATATACTGTGTGTAAGTTAACTACCTTATGAGAAAATTTTATTTAATATATATATATATATATGTATGGTGAAGTTCCTTGCTCTGTAAGCATTTTTCTTTCTATATCTTTTCCTTATGACAATTTCGTATCAAAACTGAGGCATTTATTTCAAATTTTTTCTTTTCATTTAAGGATCCATGTCCACAGATTCGTTCGCATTTCCTGACAAAACTTAATCAAGGCTTGTATAAATTGCGACTTCCACTTGAGTATATGGCTATTTTTGCACACGCTTCCAATGTCCCTGAACCTGCATTTAAACAACGTGCAAAACAGTTATTTATTGCCAATGTTCAAAGACGTCGGGCCTTCTTAAATAAAAATCCTTCATATTTCCATGATACTAGTAAGTCTTTTTTTTTAACTTATTCGTGTTCTACCTTATGGAAAGTTTTTCTTTTTTTTACTTATGTGTATTTTCATCTCTTTCAATTGTCAAAATGTTTCCCTTAAATATAGTTGTGGGATTATACCTTTGTTAAGTTTGTGTTCGTGCATCACTGGAATTTGATCAAGGCAGCTAATTGAACAACACAATTCATGCCTTTTGTTAAATACAAATCTCTATTACACGGGATATCCAAAACTTTTGAGGCCTGCTCCTTTTGTGAGCGACAAAAAGGTCGTAACATGTTGAATTTATTTCCTTGTGTGTTGATTGGTTAGCTGTCTTTATTCAATGCATTTGTTTTTACATTCCTTTGCATGACAAGCGGAACCTAGGGGTTTCAAGATTGAGCTTTAGAGTCCTTCTTTATGGCTGTAAGACCTGGCCATTGAGAGCAGAAGACATGAAAAGATTAGCTGTCTTCGATCATAGGTGTCTGCGTTCTATCTCCAGTGTGAAGTGGTATAATAAGGTGAGCAATATTGAGGTTAGGCATCGAGTGCTAGGTGAGGCGAGGAAATCAGTCGACGAGACTGTGAAATTACATCGACTGAGATGGTTAGGACATGTGCTACGTATGCCTAGTCATCGCCTTCCTCGACGTGCAATGTTAGCTGATAAAGGGCCAGGCTGGAAAAGAGCTAGTGGCGGTCAAACGAAAACATGGCACCAGTCAATAAAATCTGCAACAGTTAGTCTAAGCCACGTAGGAAGGTGTAGACTTCCTGGTTGAGGTCCTCAGGACGGTAAAAACCAATCGTTGGAAACAATTGGTGACATGGCTCAAAATCGTTCTCAGTGGCGCAGATGCATCCTCTCCTTGTGACTCATGATTTCCAATGAAACTGTTTTGTTCTTCGTTATTGCTATTCCTTTGTCTCACACCTCTGTTTACTGTTTCTAATATGCATTTCTCCTACTTTCTTCTCTTGCTTTGTGAACTACAAGGAGGGAGTGTGGCGACTTGAACTGTCGCACATATGTGCAAAGTTCTATGCCGAAAACCGACCGACCGGTGGTGTTTCTTACTAACCTCGCGTCCAACTTTACCACTTTGACGGGTTTACTTCTGGCTAAAAGAGGTTTAAGTGAGTGTCGTCTGGGGAATCAACCTGGTCCACGTGCGTGCTTGATGGACATTCTACTGTTAAAACTCGGACCCATATGTATTGAGCGTCGGTGGCAGAGCAGTTAGAACGCTCGCTGAACATGTACATAGTCCGGGGTTCGATTCCCGGCTGACGCACACCTGATATTAATGATCAGCCTGCTAAACTTGGGCTACCGATATCACATACTGAAAATTCCATTGTTGTACGAAAATACTGTGTGGAATCAAGCTATAAATAAAAATGTACGCTGCTTCTCTGTCCACTTAAGATATAAATAACAGTTTACTCATCCTACACATAGTTATAATTGTCGAATACCAAAAAAACGCTCTACATTTTATTCAGATGCCCCTGCTGAAACTAATCAACATAGTAGTATTTATCCTGAACTAATTCTTATGTTAAATCTTTCACGTAATACCTGTTTTCCGAGTTTCCGAGGTTAATCTCATCGGTTTCCATACTTTCACTGAGTGCTCCAGAATAGATATTCCCAATACTGAGTTTAGTTGTGTATTTTTTTAAACTCCGCACATGAGTTTCCAGTTAGGCACACTATTCGAGTAGCATTGATAGGTGTTCTCGTGTAGCAGAGTATTTAACCTTATTCTGTGGTGAGAGCTGTCTGCTAACCGAAATTGGTAGACAGCAATTTACGTCAATGTTTACTTCCCAAATCTTGGTCATGAGAAGAAACAAGAACAAAGAATAACCATAAGGAACTCAACAACCAATCACAGCAGACTTAGCGTGGGCGGATACGACAAGCAGATGTATCAACGGACTGTCTAAGAAACGGCAACAAAGAGATGACACGGAATAACCTTCAGCAGGAGAACAACCAATCAGAAGACGTCGCTTCTCTGCTAACGATAACGCTAGTAAATAATGTACATAAAAAAATCTATAAATATGTGTTGATTTTCTCAATAAACGACCTGTTGCCTGGCCCTTGTCTTCTTTGGTTACAATTCGAGTCAGTTGATAAAAGAATAGCCATCAGCACTTTGATAAAACTAACAGCCTCTTAAATTTATCAGAGACATATATACCTTAAGCGTTGAAGGTGAATAAGACATTTGAAAGGGCAGTCTGCATGATCTGTAATCATGTCTTTGGTTGCATACCACCTCCTCCCCCCACCCAACAACATTTCTTTAATTTTTGTTCATAGTTCTGTCAAAATTAGTAATTTTCTAATTTCAGTTAATTTATTGTAGTAATAAAAATCGTATACGGAATCCTGTTTTTACCATTTGTAGAATATTTATTCGGATTATTACCGGACTACATTCTTCCATATGTGATTTATTTACTTTCTCATGATTCCAAATGGACTAAAATAGACGACGTAGAAATATTGAATAAAATTAAAAGGTACGTTTAATAGTTTGATATTTTTTGGTAAAGTTAAACTTTAAGCACCAGTAAGTGCCAACGGACAAGTGACCTTGAACGCACCAACCACGTGATAAAGGCGGTTTGTGCGTATGATATACATACATATACTCATGAAAATATTGAATTTAAAGGCATGAAATTGTCACACAGACAGGATACCTCTCTCTGATGTGTGATAGAATTACCTGTCAGTTCGGGGTTGGAATATCAACATAGTAATTTAACTACATTCTAATCCTAACGTGAAAATATCACCCTCGTTAGTTTTACCTAACCTGTCATTAGCCTAAACCTTAATGTAAATCTTTTCCCAAACCAAACCTGAAACTTGCTAGATATCCCATTTAATAACACATCATTAAGCATATTTTGTTCATGATTGCAATATTATTTACCAGGTATCCCTAACTCGCCTACTGAGAGTTTCAAGGCCATTGGTGTGTGGTGGCACTCCACTGGTGTTTAAAGTTTAACTTGGCCGATATTTTTTGTTGTCTCTTTTTCGTAAGTATAATTAGCTTAAGTGATAGGCAACACCTTTAGAAAAGATTAAGGTGCTATTTTTATAACACTAATACATTTATGTACAAACATGAAATGCTATTCAATAGCCGCTTTTACGGCGTCTATATTGTTGTACGGATTGATGATATTATCAGGCGAAACCCTTATCCATTCAGACACAGCTTTACTTGAATATACTTACCAATACAAACCTGTTTTTATATAGAACATCAGTGGCATTAGTTTTTTGTAGGCTTCTGTAGAACTTCAGTTACCCATTTTCACAAGTCATCAGGGTATGTGTATCGGTTGTGTTTAGCATCGACAATCTCTAACATTTTGCCAAATCCTGCATGTTACATAGATTGAGATGGCTAGGTCACGTGCTCCGCATGCCTAACCATCGCCTCCCCCGACGAGCATTGCTAGCTGATATAGGCGCAGGATGGAAAAGAGTAAGTGGTGGCCAAACAAAAACATGGCCTCATCAATCCATGAAATCCTTGACAGTTAAACTGAGTCAGGTAGGGAGGGAGATGCAGACTTCCGGGTTGGGGCCCGCCCTCGGGACTGTAAGAATCAATGGCTGGAGACAATAGGTGACATGGCTCAAAATCGTTATCAATGGCTTACGCAGATGTATTCAGTCTCTGTAATCTTTCATATTCCTTTCTACCATTACACTCATTCTGTTTCACTCTTATACTTTCCAAAACTCTATTGATTCTCTTCACTCATTTTCTTGTCTACCTTTATGTTGTATTTGGAACGTGGCAACTCGAACTGCTGTACTTCGGTGCCAAGTTCTATGTTGAATCCAGAGACAGATAAATCTTGCGTGTAAAATATACTAATTTGTAAATGATCCTACATTCACATATCCAGTGTGTACAGCCGTAACTGCTCATTATTCTAATTCTACTGGTTGCAACTAACTAACTAACTAGCTGACAATTTCTAAGTGTAATTTTGTTAATGATGTATGCCTGAGTTTGCGTGACGAATATATAAACCTAACTACAATGTGGCTATACACACAATACACTTTATACTAAACTAATGCTATTGTGTATTTGACGGGTTGTGTGAATCTAGATTGTTGTGTTGATACGACACACTACTGTTTCATAGTCCTTATTGTCCTTGTGTGATCCTGTGTGCGAAAATACATCTTAATTCAATAGCAGTGCAGACACCTTTACCTTGCTATTGAACTTTCAGTTGGTGAGTTCTAGGTTCAAATTTTGTTCCACTTAGTTCACTTCAAGTGAGTGGGTAGTAACACTACCCCTTACAAGTGTGACCATAGCCTATTATTATCACATTATTATTATTATTATTCCCTTGGGTTCCGAGTGGAAAATAGGATATGATGGAGAAGATTTGTAGCTCAGGTGGACTTAAGCGGCACATCTTCACTTCAACCTATTCCCTGAAGTCCTATTCAGCTGGCTCCATGATCACCCTTAGGCTCTCATTTACTCTTCACACGATGTCCTTCATGTCAGCCTCTCACACCCACGCCCAACTCGTTGTTTCCCATTCGAGTTCCACTCGAGGGCTAACCACCCACTCGGTGTCACTCAACGGTCTTCTCAGCGTTTTTCCAATCCATCTCCATTTTATTCAGCATATTGGATCATAGGTGGTTCATAGCCTAGTACATGAAAAATCTGATCTGCCTAACTGAGTCCCCATGAGTTATTATGACTTTTTAAGATATACTGTCCTCTAAAGAAGGTGTTGTTTCGGGTATTCGAATAGGTACATTTTGTTTACGGGATTTCATCATGAAATGACACCGGTTAGAAAACCTGAGAGTATTAGACAGCTGTTTTGTCATAGTGTTTGGGACTCCTCATTAGTACGCACCCACTGAGGTTTGAATCCAGGACCTTCTGGTTACAAGGCGAGCTAGCAGACCATTAGGCCACTGGGGCCCGATCCAATGGCCAGTCCATGAATTCCAACTTCTGCCAATTCACGAAATGGCGCGACCACTAGTGAATGTCATCGGCGAGTACATGTTCTCACGCCTGACCTGCCATACCCCACTGGTCACGACATTTTGTTTCCATGTGTTTTGATTTTCCATGGAATTCTCATGCCAGAATACATATTTGGTAATCCGTTACAAAAGAACTATCAATGAAAACTTATCGGTGGAAACATTGCCAATATTGTCTGCTTGTGTGCGAAGAAGTAAATTAGTATTGCTAATAAGATTACAAATTAATAAAAGTCCTTTAGATTGAGAATGTTGTACCAATTAAGAGTATGCTCAGGCTAAGTAACACTATAACGGCAACATTATTTTATAAGCCGACCAGCTGGAATATTTTTAATCATAGTTTCTATAATTTAAGCATTAGGTTATTAGAAATCCATGAAAAGTCAGATCATTGGTTATGTTAATTTCTTATTTTCTTCTTTTTATTGTTTCTAATACTTGCATAACTTTAAATCGGTTTTTATTTGTCACTCATGTTTTCCAGTTCTTTATGGTTTGTAATGGAACCGATTATGTCGCATGGTGACAATTTTAGTTTTCTACGGAAAATTATTGAAAAAATCAAATATGCACGAGATGCCCTTAATCCTGATGATGCTTTTGTTAACGAGGTAAATTCTTCTTTTTTTTTATCTGTTTCCTCTTCTACTGCTTCCTTTTTGATTCACATATTCTATAAACGTTTTTGTAATTGCAGCTTTTATAGATGTATCTTACTGTAAAAAGCGCTAGTTGACATAAAAGCATTCCACATAGAGTTACGCTTCTAGCGATATCATCCTAAACCCAAACAATCGCATATATGTTTAATGGGTTACCATAGCAATGAAAGGGATGTTTCCAAAGATGTGTCATTAGAATTGTACATAACTCTTAATATTTATGTAATAAAGGAACCACTGATTGGGTAGAAAATGAAATAGAACCAAGTAAGTAAATTCAGTGATATAGCATAACTAGCGGGATTGAATACAGTTCAAATAAAATTGAAAATGGCTCAAGTTAAGGTCAGTGTGTTAAATAGCAAAAATGTAGTAGGAGGAGGAGGAGGAGGGGAGGGAAAAAAACGAAGATCAAATAAATTATACATCAAATGTTGAGCAAAATTACGTCCATTGTAGTTCTAACGACTGGACAAACTTCTTCAGGAAGCAATATGTGTAGATTGCCATAACCTCTGCGGTTTGCTGCACACTCCTTTGACAAAATTTCCCCTTACTCTATAAGTGACTCCGTTTCAAGAATCAATCAGGTGTAACAGAATAGAGTTTCAGGGAGATCTTTTTTCTCCACTGTAAAACCATGTTTCCAATGATACCTTTGGAGAGCAAACACTGAGTATGGCCGACGTTATCTTATACGTAGTGTGCTCTGTGTTATGTTCATTACACTTCATAATTGACACAATTTGTCTTCAGTTGTACTCAATATCAAATACAGTGATATTTAACGAAGCAGTAACAATATATAGGGATCAGGATAAAACAGATTGAGACTGACTAGATAATTTGTTCCCTCTCACTGATTTTATTACTTCCAATGGGAAAAGCTTTATTGACATAATACAAGCGCATACGTTTAATATATGACCATTGAAATATGTGCATTTTTTAAATGGTAAAATGAACTACTCCTCTTTTTGTCCAAGATTCTACGTTGGAAATTCAGTCAGTATTGTGCGTCATAACTTCGTGTAACATTATAATAAAAAGCCTCCTACTGTTTTACTGATTCCGATATTGTCAATTTCGTGTAACTTACTACATGCAAAGTCTCACTGGCTGTTTTTTCCATACAGAAATTAAGTTTTCTTGAAATTTTCTGTCCGTGACACTCTTTCTACAAGTTCACTACGATGGCGATCAATGAAATCCCTGAACGAACTCAGCAGGTCTCACAGTTAAACCACTGGATAAAATAGCTCTTCCTGTATAGTAATTGGACTATCATGCCTCCATTAAATAAGATATCAACATTTTAATGTAGTAGTAACTAGGCATTTCACGTATTTGTTAGACATTTATTGGCTATTCAATTAATTTGGCCTGAGTGTAGAATACCTACTTATTAGTGTAAAGTGTTGTTAAGTTGTGACACTATGCAGGGGTGGGGAGCTGTATTGTGTGAAGGCTCATTTTCGGAAAATGTGGAATCAATTTTAACTGTTTTATAGCTTCGTGAATGGATGAAAGGAACCGGTGGTTTGCCCATAACGTCGTGGAAAGAATTATAATAGTGTTGAACAACATTTATTATTGCATAATAATCACTAGGATGGAATTCAAAAGATCACATGACTAGGTGATTCAGAACCTTGTTAAATATGGTTCGGCATTGAAATATGTCGTGATATTGCTGCTGTTTTCGTGTCAGCCGTATAATTAGAAACTGACGAAGTGGTGGACGGTTCTTTAGCTTTATTAGATGCGAATAATTATGTGCTTATTGCCTCTCACTCGTTACTTGGCTATCCATTCTTACTTTTAAGTGAAAATAATAATAATAGTGAAATTGGCGAAAATGTTCACCTCGTCGTCGCTGATTTCTAAAGGTTGAATGAAAATATCACTAAGGAGACTTATTTTTAGTTTATCTATGTGATTACCTACTGTTATTTAAGTGGTACCGTGCGTCGGTGGCATAGCGGTTAGGACGCTCGCCGACCATGCACATGGTCCGGGGTTCGAATTCCAGCCGACGCACTCCTTTACCTCGCTAAGCTAGAAATAAAAAGCTGGTAAAGAGGAAAGGTTGGGCATGAGGCTAGCAACCTCATCCTGTAAAAATAAACACTGCTACAGAAACTTCAAGCTTCTAGCTTGAAGCCCTATGTTCCACTGGGAACCTGAAGGAATTAAAAAAATCAACAACATTAGGTTTAAAACATAATGATGCTGTTCGATGAAGAAATGTGAATCATCAACCACTCGTGATGAATACGTTTTATATCTTTCAGATTATCTAAGGGGAATGAATAGATGACAGGTTTTTTTAGATCATATATTGGAAATTTCGTCATATGTGTACACACTCATATAAACATTCGAGTGAATCCATAAGGCATATCTATTCGAATTGTAGACTAAATATAAAAGGTTAGCGGATAGGCTATAACTTCGTGCGTGAAATCTGACACAGCTCTCTTGGCGTTCCTAACAAAGTCTAAAATATCCATCTAAGTAAATATCTCAGTGGATTTTATTAGGTGATTAATACTTAGTATCTATCTCAATGAGAAGTGCCTCGGTGGTACAAGGTTAGGTGTTAGGCCGGCTAACAATGATAGACTGTCCGTCTCTCCAGCCTCCACTACGTGCCACGTTGTTAAAAACGCTTATGAAGATATTTTAAACTTAGTTGGGGGAATCTCTTGTGATGTTTAGATCATTCCAAAGAATTTTAAACATTTATGTTATCTTACCAATCGCCATGATTTGGATCTATCTGGCATTGATTGGATTGATGATAAACTACTCCTTTTGGAAATACTCTTTCGTGATGTTGATGAAACGATCCAAATTCTTCCTAAAACTTTTTGGAGAACGCTTATCAGTATCCGCAGTAAATGTGTTTAATTGTGTCCAAGCAACAATGTGATGACTTCCTCACTTTTACTGGTAAAGTCAACCGTGCTCAATTCAATGGTCCCACATTAATTCGTGGGGGTTTCATAGATGCAGAGTATCTAGACCTACAAATATCTTCCAGTGGTCCCCACCCCGATTGAAAATGGGAGGTGTTAGGACGGAAAACCTATCTTAGTTAACTGTTCTGACATTAAGATTCTCGCCAACCACACACACACACAGTCCGGGGTTTCGTTCCTGGTCGGCTTACTCCTAAACCTCGCTTACTTCACTAGCCAACAGTAATCCAGGAAGAGTGGGAAGCTTGAATGTGAGGCTAGAAATCTCATCGTATAATAAGAGCGACACCGCTACTTCAGCCTAAGAGATAAAGCTTTATATTTTATGCATGAACCATAAGTTGAGTCCATACACTATTCATCGCCTCAAATGTTATTTAATTTCTTTTTAAATGTCCAACAACTGTTATTTTTGCCATAAATATTCATTGTTCATCTTCTTTTCTTTCTTTTTTAAAAAAAAAACAAACTTGTTCAATAGAAATTGTACACTGTATGCGATATTTGTTTGGGTCTGTTGCTTTCTCGTTGTACTAATCCTACAAGTAAAGAATATCCAGTTGATGTAAAACTACCCAAAACTCTTTTCACGCCTACACCAATCGATTTTCGAAATCCTGATTTCAAACAATTAATGAATATGGTTGTTGAAAGTGGAACACAAGAGAATGAAGATACATTGAATGAATCCATGGAGGCTATCGTCAAAAATAAAACAAAACCAATTTTACAGTTTACACCGAATAAGCATACAAAAGAATTTAAAGATGGGTTAATTCCTCCTGAACTTTTAAAGATGAAAAACGCTGCTATTCCAAAGACAAAGTATGCTCTAAAATACTATACAATATTTAGTTTATTAATAATTTTTACAGAGGGTATTAAGTTATTTCTCAGCATGGGTTCTACACTAGTATGTAATTTCTTACATCAAAATTATTGTACCAAGCATGTTATTATTTCAGTTTTAAATATAGAGGGGGTGGGGGTGAAAATAAGAGATTAAAAGTCATTAAAAACATTTAACAATTAGATGTTAGAGACAAGTTATGTAAGTTTCGAAAGAGGGAGGGGTGAGAATAATTATGGGACTTAAGATCACTTAATTCGTAGGGGTCAGCAGCAAGTTATCATATAATCAAGAAACTTGTAAAATAATGATGACTAAGTAGAGTGGGTCGGTGGCACAGCGGTAGAATGCTCGCCGATCACGCCACAGGTGGTTCGGGGTCCGGTCCCCGGCAGACGCACTCCCTTACCTCTCTGAGCCAGTAATAAGACTGGTTGGTAAAGAGGGAAGGTTGGACTAGGCATGAAGCTAGCAACCCCATCCTGTAAAAATAAACACCACTGCTACCGAAAATTTAAAGCTCTAGCTTAAAGCCCTATGTTCCACCGGGAACGTGAAGGAATAAAAAAGGTAGAGTTACTTAAGATACACTAGCCATCTAGAATTCCAGTCATAATAAAAAATTTTTTAAACATCAAAAGATAGTTAGATATTATGTAGTTGACCAAGGCAAAGAAAGGAGTTGTACGAATTTCTTTTGGACACACGATTGGTGCAATTTTTTATTAGAAAAAAGAATATACATTAATATAGAGCCGATGATGAGGAACTAATTGCGAAAAGGAGTCTATTTCTTCACTCAGTTTGTTGTTGTTTTTCTTTCTAAATGTGTAGATGGAAATTTTTAAAGTATTAAGTTATGGTTATATAAAATTCTTAATGCATATATCAATAGGATGACATCCATAATTTATATTGGTTGACAGAACATGAATAGGTGCATTTTCCCAAGTGTTACTTACCTACGTATACACACTTTTATATTACTACTTACCGTGTAGGTTACTGAACCGCATAAGATGTAATGCACTATGATATTAATTTTGAATATCTAGTCTTATATGCATTTTTGCTGTGCAGTTCTTATTCAGTCAACACACAATACTTAATAGTTTGCAAAGTTGATGAATGTGATTTACGCATATTGATTTTATTTATTATATTAGAAGGTGGACTACATAGAAAAGCTGAAGCTTTCGATCATTCTTGTACTACTACTACTACTACTACTACTCGCACTGTACTGCTTGTTACTGGGCGAAAAATGTGAGATACGATGAGTGTCTAGACAGAAGTGTAAGATTAAAATCAACTAAGATTGATGGCGATGATGGATCAGGTATACGCTGAGGAGGCTGTCAAATGACATCGTGCACCAGGCCCTTGATTGGAATCCTAATGGGAAGTGACGAGTGGGTCGTCCAAGAGTGACAATGAGGAGATCGTGCGAGGAGGAGATGAGAGATTATAGGCAATCATGGACCCAAATGAAGACGACAGCAGAAAACAGTAGTGGAGATGTGTTATTGAAGCCATATGTTCCACTCGGAAACTAAGGGAATAATATAATAATAATAATATGATGTCATACCAAGCAATTGCATACCCTGATTATAAACGTCCTACAATTGCTGCTCTATGATGACATCGTTGATATAAGTTACGTAGGTTGTTTGAGTGACAGACAAGGGTCAACGTATTACACTGCATATCAAAACGCTGTAGGTTATAAAGAACGAAACACAGACACAGTTATGAGGTGAGATTTAAATGAATGAAGTTCAATGGATATGTATTCGATTTTGGAGAGGATGCAAACAGGACACATTGGTGCGAATGCAGATGACTTCGATTTCGGCTGATTTCTTTGAGGCTCAAGAAATGCATGTTTAAACTCTTAGTATTGTGGCAAGTGTTGTCGGCACTCTCCAAGTTTATCAGGTTAAATAAATCATAGTAATACTGTACTACTTCGTCCTTCATTTCTCTACTAATTTTCAACGTACACAGAAATCATGAGAATGATTAACTAAAAAAAACTTACCTAGTTATTCAATGTTGACTGAATCTCAGCTTAGTAAACCTAACAGTTGCCTTGCGAATATGGCAAATAGTCTTTTGTGGTTATTAACTGATTTAGAAATTTATATCCTTATACGCTGAGGTTATTCTTTTTTTCGTAATTGTATCATAAAATTATTTCAACTGCAAATAATGGTGCGGATTGTTTATTATTTGAGATATTGAACAACTGAGAAAACTTCAATACACTACTGAATTCTTGAGTATTAATAACCTTACCCTATAAACATACATTCACCAATATTACCGCTATCTTTTACTTTTTGTTTTATAAAAAATGCAGAAAAACGAAAGCAGCCAGCAAAAACGAAGAGTCAAAGGCGAAATTTGAAACCAAATCTAAAAAAGATAACAATGAACCATCGCGACAAGAAGAAAACGGTCCAGTTGCGGACACAGTGACAGATGACGACCAGGAGACAGATAAGGAAGCAAATACTATACATTGTATTGCGTCCACTAGTCGTGTCTCACCTAAAAGCACTATTGTAAATGTTATTGATACTGATATTAATGTGTGCATTGTAGAAACACATTCAACTCGCAGTTCTAGTAATCCAAATAAGCGTAAGAATGCAGCTCCACCAGGAATTGTTAAACGCCAACGTGTTAACCCATCACCGAATTCAACTTCAAACCTTCATCAAAGCACACTTGATCGTGTTGTACAGACCAACAAAACTTCCCAGAAAGATGTCTCGTCAACGGCAAATAGCGTCAATCAGCAGGTTTCAAGTATCTCTCCGCGTAAAAGTCCCAAACATTTCACTAAACCAGCTCCAGAAGCGCATTCTAAAAAGTCAAGTAAACCTCCTCAGTTGTCAACAAACAGTTGCTCTAATAATTCTAAAAATACTAAACAGGAAAGCAATCTTCGTGCAACACTAGCTTCAAATGATCGGGTGACCTCGTTGCGATCTAAAAGTATCAAAAGTAGTGAAAAAACTCAAGGGCTCACCGATGTTTCGAAAAAGTCTCTACAGAATGCCAACAAAACACCACCGAAAACTAATTACAGAGTCTCAAAACCACTTAGAACTAATGATAATTCTAATGGATCCAATAATATTTCAGAAAGACCATCTCGATTAAGCGCTATCGTTGCCAAGCAAAAGTTGTTATCTCCTATGTCCGTATTTAGTTCAACGTCAACATCAAACCAGTCAACTCCAAAAGGAAGGTAAGTTCATTCATTCGATCTGATGTGTTATTTTAAAGAAACTCTTAGTATTTGAACTGTGATACACACTAATATTTGTTCATCATTTTTTACGGCAACCAACGAGTAGGGAACCACTTGATATGAAACCTGAGTAGCGTTCCAAATGTACCAATCAAATCAAATGTCTAAAGTACTAGTTTGCAGTGATTTAATTGGTTTCAGGATTTCGTCATGAACTGATATATATATATTAAAGAACATTGGAAAACCTGGGAGTACTGGACCAGCTGTTTCATCCTAGTTTGAGGTACATCAGGTCAGGTGTGAGGACAAATACTCCCCGATGACATTCACTAGTGGTCGCGCCATATCGTGAATTGGCAGAATTTGGAATTCATAAACTATTGGGTCGGGTCCCAGTGGCCTAATGGTCTATGAGCTCGCCTTGTGACCAGGAGGTCCTGGGTTCGAGCCTCAGCGGGTGCGTACTGATGAAGAGTCCCAAGCACTATGACGAAATAGCTGTCTAGTACTCCCAGGTTTTCCCATGGTTCCCTAACTGATGTCAGCTCATGATGAAATCCTGAAACTTAGTGTTTCTTGATGAGCGAATTAGCAAAGTATCTGCATTCTATTAAACTTCAAAGTATTATAAAACACCGTAGGTGTATATTTCTAGATCTTTGGCGTTATTCTTTGAGACACAACTTATAACAATAATAAGAATCCTGTTGTACAGTGTGCCGTTACAATAAGAAATAAACCGATTTTACTCTTTTCTAATTGTGTTGAATTAAATGACGGTTGTAGTTAGTAGGTATATTGTGGGGTTATAACAGCTTGACTGTATCAATTCCAGTCACTTTTGCTACGACTTTTTGGCTGGTGTTTAAAATACTTGCAGTCATTTTTAATTTTAGGAAACAAGTTGTATGCTTAATTCTAGAGAAATATCCGATTGACTCTTTTCTCTTGCTGTATGATATAACACATAATCTTTGGCTTTTACTTAAACACGAAGTTTAAAATGAAACATCCCTTCTCTTGTTTTGCTTTTTCTGCAGATAATGATAATGCTTTGAATCATCCTTGGCATGTGGAATTCATATATCTACACACTCTTGTCGAAACACACCTTTTAATATCCAATGCTGCTACTTTGTTCTTTTGATATGATTTTTATTAATCGTAACTGTATTTATTTTCTAATAGCAATTATTATCTCCCAGATTATACTGAGACGTTTATCACATCTTCTCATTGAGCATTTATTCAATATTTTATTCCCAGTTTAGGACCTATTAATATAACTTCCTCAAAAAATAACTGGGGATTTTTTTGTACATGTTAAGTAATATCATTTCAAGTTTTAAATGCTTCCTTTAAATAAAAGAACTATAAATACTACTTTTCACTGAGTTTATTGACACCATTCAAAGATGAGATATTTAATGAACAATTTGTACACATTATTGTTTAGAGAAAGCACCATTTGAAGATGGAAGTGAGTTCTTAGTATGCTCTACTGAGTAGCCTAGCTTCACAATCTGCTAATGCCCATTGGTGGTCAACTACTTCTAGTGCTTCCCATTCTGCTTTGAACGCTTTTTGCATATCTTGTGGAGCCTGTGGTGTAGGTATTTGATTATCGGGTAAAATCATAGGATGATCAGCTGCATTGTCCAAACCGAGAACGAGCCCGTACATGCTTCTGAGGCCAAATATGTTGAGAAAATACCATGATGCAGAGCTGACCCTGAAAAAAGTGGTATTTATTCAACTGGAACTTACCATGACGCATCCAAAGATGTAAGAGACTCACAGCCTCTTTGGAGCATTGGTTTAAATCTATAGGTAAGTGGAAACGGGACTTTGGTAGTAAGGAATCCTGAGAAGGCCCAGTTTATCCAGCTGCCGATAACAATCATCGGGACCATGTTAAGCGCATTGCTCCTAAGCATTTCAGTCGCCATCGAAGGGTCTACGGGATATATTAAGAAAACAGAATATGGGACTTACCGGCCATCGGGTTTGTCATGGTGCTCTCTCGTTTTTGCGTTTTAAAAAAGCCATGTTCCTTATCATTAAAGAAATACTTCCGCATTTTGAAGGCCTATGGAATTATATATGGCACTTAGTAGTTTTACCTTGGCTGGTAGATACCGTCCATTTTCGCGTAAAAGTCTGCTGCGGATTAAAGCGTGACTACAAGTTCAGCTTGATAAATATAAGGATATTACCTATCACCAATATTCTCGAGTTCACCTTTCTTCTCACTAGCGAAGATGATCGTTATGTAGTGGCGCAGTACTCCAAACAAGAAGGTGATAATTACGAGCGGCAAGAATACCCAGGAACGAATAGATGGATCCAAGAATAGTTCGGCCATCTAGAATGTTTTTAACTGTTTCAATATGCGTATCTCTTCGTTGAAAAGAACCAGTTAATGGACAATAGAACTTTATGTGGAAGGATGCCAGTCAGACTACTGGATTGGTAATAATTACTTAATATATGAACGGAAAGTTGGGTGGTTGACGTTGTACCTTTTCTAGTTATTCATATCTGTTTTGGCGTTTACTTGGAGAACTAGTGATCAAACAAGGTGTATTTAATCAACGGTAACAATTTATTTCATAAATTATCGACACTGAATATAGATAACATTTTAGACTTAGTCCAAAATACCTTTTTCACGTGTTTAAATTGAGCTAAGGTTCTTTCATGAGAGTGAGTGACTTTTTAACTAGTGTAAAGCAGGAGGGTGGTTTGTTAGTTCTTTTTGATACACTTTTTACTCATGGTGGATCAAAACTAGGTATTAAATCTTAGTGAATAATCCAATATGTTATATGGAAGAGGAGATATTCGAAACTTTTTGTCACTGTTCAGTCATATCAATGACACGTCTGGGAACGAAATTAATGCGAATATCCTAGTTAGGAAGACCGTTGCTCCCTTACAAATGTGATGCAGAGACAATCTTTCCCATAGTGGATAATGAAGTAGCATAGGCTGTATCTGGATTGATTACAATTACCTTTTTCGAGGAGAGCTGAACACTCAGTTTACCGTACCTTCTCGGACGTTGACTTCGTTAGACAGGATGTTAACCAACGATGAAGAAACATTTCTAGGCACCGAGAGAAAATAACACTGCAAACCAGCTTTCTAATTATTTCATGAAATGTTTCAGACGCACTTAAATAGCTTAACAACATAACTATCTGCCCAAAAAACCACCTCAATGATCATAGACTCGTTAACTACCAATGTTGATAGACTCGTCTAAAGGTAGTAGAAATTAACTAAACTCTTCAAAGCTGCAACTGGCATTGATAAATATTTCCTACACGCCTTATAGTTTCAGCCAATGTTTGTTTATGTTTCCGGCAGTGTCAAGAGGTAGTTTTCAAACTCGCTGAGTTTCAATGCAATTGTAAATGCATTTAGATATTTCGAATCAGCCTATAAGGACGACTACTATACAGACCACCATAAGAGACTTGCAGGCATTCACGTTAACGGTTGGTATTTGCCATGCTATCTATTTAAAATGAACAGGGAAGAGGCTGGATGGCACAACAGCAATGTACGTGTCAAAAGTTGGTGTTAACCGATACACTTTCGAAAATTCTAGCTTAGCATAGTTCCTACAAGTACTAGTATTTGGATACCTCAGACTACTGATTAAATACTTGGTGAGTTCATATCAGGTCAGTCTGGATTTTCCCAAGTTTATTCCATTCCACTTCTTCTGTAAGCAATGTGTTACAGTGGTCAAGTGCACATTATGAAATAACAAGCTCATAATCTTGATTACTGTGTGCGAGACTACATCTTTAAAGTTAGTAATATGGCTCACGCTATCGAATCTTCGCAGTGAATTTGAAACGACATTCTATTTCCCTAATCTTATATTAGAGCATTCCTGGTCCCGATAGTTACTCGAACCGCTGCTGCATGGTTCGTACCTATAGTAACGTCGCATATTCGCGTTAGATGTTGGTTTGGTCATCTTGCATTTTTTTCAAAGTAACAATATTTCCACTGATATAAAACTTTAAAGTGAGTTAGTAAAGATGGGTAGTAAATGACTAGCTACCTCAATCAGTGGATATTGTTAACTTCAGCTACTGGGTTGCCTATGTTATATAAGCTTCTAGACTGCTTAGTGATAATAATACGGGAAACAAAGCAACCAAATTCTTACAGGTCTTTTACTCCAATTAGAATGATTACAAACGCAGGTTTTAGAGACTACCTAGATCATCTCGGTTACTCTTTAGTTATTAAAATAAGATTTCTCCTCTTTGTGATAAAAAAGGAAAGACAGTAATTCAGACAAGTCAGGTATGTCTGACTTTCTACGCCCAACTGAAATCACAATCAATTTACCTGCCCTACTGTTTTAGACCATAAAGTCTCAATCCCCTTCCTTGTTTAAAATAACCAGTTTCCAAATGCTGAATGTTGGATAGTAATGACTCACTATATAGCAGATGGATGGATGGAGTCCACTATATGTCAGTCGGTTCGCTTACGAGTGACCTGGTAGACCCATTTTCTGCCAATCTTACTGATCCATTATATTCTAAAATCAGCTTACCTGATAAATTTAATTAGTCGCTAGGGATAATCTTCTCTTACACTGACAATCACTGTTTACTACTGACTAAAAGTCGATAACAGTAACTAGTGAAAGATAGTCTTTTTCTAGACGCGTAACCTATTGTGCCCTCAACCCATCAACTAACCACTTTTGCTAAAAGTGCAGTCTCAATATTTTAATCATAGTCGAGCACATAGAAAGTTGAACCCCAATGCATGCACTGACTGCCACAACAGAAAATCCTGTACTTGACACTGCCAACAGCAGCTTATGGTGGCAGTATGGTTTATTCGGTTTTGGTGGTAACGATTTCATATATTAAGGTGAAATGCATACATGAATAAAAACCGCCGTCAGAAGAACTTTTTTCAGGGTAAGATAATCACAAGGATATTATCAGCTTCACGTCCGACGGCTATCCATCGACTATTCTTTGGGTGAAACCGTAGTCAACAAAATCAAATATTGAAGTCCGAAATAAAATTATGTCAGATATATTAACCTAAAACAGTGATGCCCTCACGTTTATCTCCCAACTCAAAATTCCGAACTGATGCCACTTCGACTTCAAATTGCCTAACTTAGTGTAAACTTTGAGGAGTTCCCCATTCCCGTTTAAAAATTCAAGTGCAAATATGAACGCCAAATATTCACTACTTGCATTTAGCATGCAAAATAATTGGTGCCGATACGCTGTTGCACCAAAAGTAATATAAAAGCTTAACACGAAACTTAATTTAACTGGAACGGGAAGACGTTCGAAACATACGTCTTTGGGAGTACACATTAAAAACAATTAACACCATCTGAATGCAAATGGGAATTCCCTGCATGGTGATCCATCTAGCATTGACTTCAGGTGTACTGCAGAAACTTCGGGGGCAATTTTAAGGTGACTGTCGCACATTCTCCAATGCGCCCGAAGATTTTTCCCCGAAAATTCTGCAGTGCACCGGGAGAAAATGGGGGGCAAGCACTACTCACAGATTCCCTAAAATGCATTCCAGATAAATAACCTGTTCATATGTGCGTTAACGTCCACTAAGATGCCAAGAAAAAATATCGATTTTCACAAAGACTCTAACGTCTCATGAGAACCCACGGTGAATAAAAACAAACGTCAAACTCACCTTAAGTTACTTTACTTTTGAAAAGGCCACCACTCATTGTCCAATAGTCTCTGAATTTCGAAAAAAAGGCAGAAATTAGAGGCTGGACTTATCCGGCATGTTAGTTGAAATTTCGCTCGGCAAATTTGTTTTGTCAATAGTTTTTAATAAAATTTTGTTGTATGTTTTCTGGATTGATAGGAATTCTTATTTCCTGGCTAGTTATGTTGGTGTCTGCGTCATTTAATCTGACTGCGACACACTTAGCATATTGGTTGTAATGATTAGTATTTCATGCTGAATGCGTCAAAACATCTCTACAATGAAGAAGATGGGGTAGTTGGGGGGTAATGTCATCTACACAAATAGTTTATTTCTTGTAGAAGCTGCAGCTTTCGACATAGTGTCATTCAATGAAGACTACGTCAAAATGTGGCTATTTTCGTGTGAAGAACAGTACTATTTTACAAAAGAATGCTATCAGTACATGGGAATCACCTACAAATGCCAACAGAACATAAAACCAATGTGTAAACGAATGGCTATGGAACTGCAATCCAACATAACCGACTAACATGGGCGAAAATGACCTTTGAGCGTCTCACTCCATCAGTGACCTTGAGCATGCGGGATAATTTCAGCCAAATTAGACGTCACGTACAAGGTCATCGGTGGATTGAGACGCTCAAAGGTTATTTTCGTCATGTTAGTCGGCCATGTTGGATTGCAGTTCCGTATCTGTTCGTCTACACATTGGTTTTTCTGTTTATCCAGCAGTTATTCACAACTTATTTTGATGCACATTGTTCACAAATGTTGCGTTTCACTTCATTATTGTTTCCGTTTCTGTTAAAATTAGTTATTTTGTCTGTTTCAAAAGTTTTTACCACCAGGTCAGTGCATTCGTTTCGTTGTTATTGTTTCATCCCTTGCATTCATGCATGGTTTCAGTGTTTTAGTTGTTTTTCAGATATTAATGAATTAGTACTATGTAGGAATTTTGGAGATTATGCACGTGAACATGTTTGGGAGGCAGAAGCCATTGTTTTCAGTTTATTTTTGGTTGCCGTTATTGTTGCTGGCTCAATTGGTTACTTAATATGTAGGAATCTGCAAAAAAATGTCTTTCACGTTCATGTTTACAGAAGGCAACAATCTACGAGTGAATCTGGTAAAGAGAGCACGATCAGGGTTGATATTAGCAAAGTTTTCGAAGAACAAATTAAACCTAGAGAATTTAGAACCTGGTTTGAAGTTTAAAAAGCTTTGAAGCTTTTTGACAAGGTGTCTGTTGTCAGCAAAAAAATCAGATATATTGTGAGAGAATCAAAACCAAGCAAGGATGAGCCACATGTGAAGTATGAATGTATGGTGTTTGTATGTACTTTTGGAAGCAAAATTAGGAAGCAATAGGAAATCCCTAAATGATTGTTAATGCCTAGTGTACTAGATCGAAACGCACGAACTAGGACTGCCTGTAGTAAACGCGGTATTAACAACCATTTTATTTGTTTCAAAACGATTTGAAAAGCGGATTACATACGATGATCTGGTGAGTGTTCGGTAAGAATTTAACTAGCAAGAATTACGTCTCGGATTTTGGCCTACAATCGGTGGTTTTTTCGAAGTTACAACAACCTGAGAAGCTGATTATTATTCGAGGTGAAAAAATTGGCTCGTTGCAAATTGCCTGTTTCAGTTCAAATAATGAAATTCCTATTTTTCGGATGCTTGTGATTTCTCCGTGGCTATAAACACTGTTGCACATGATTTTTAAGAAAACTTTAAATAAATTTTCCTTGAACCAATGGTCTTCTGTTTCTTGGCGAAGCATCTATTGAGACGATTTGGTAGCAATGTAAATGTTCTGTGATTGAGAATTGTAGTCATTGTGTTTCGGATTTATATCGCGCATCTAATTGCTATAACCCTATGGATAAAGCTTTTTCCTCATTATGATATATAGAAACCATAAGCACACTGCCTTCGGTTGATGAGGATAACAATGACATATAATGCAACCTAGATATTCGATCGTGACACTGCATCTGTACTACTTCAGGTTAATGGAAAATTCAGGAAGAATTCATCACCACTATTGGTGATCAAAAACATTGCAGCATTAAGTTTACAGTGCCAGTGAGAATGGCATAACAGACAGTAGATTGATAGTAATAGAGCTGACTAGATTCAGTTCTCATAATCGACACAATCCATGTGTATAATAATACTATACACTGAATTAATGCACTAAGTGACACAGTAAGGAAATTTAAACGAGTGATTGCCTTCTCCACTGCACTGCACTTGCAATAATCATGACAACCACCTACGTTTGCTAGCCAAGCAGTTAGCTAAGCACACAATTGTGCACAATATTAATAAAGTTGAGATATAGTTCATACATTGAGTCCACATAACTCATATTACGCTACACCAAACGGTGCAAATATACATGAAATCCACTTGGAAATAACCTCTCAACTTACGATAATTCCTGTCCAAACACACATACGGTGAGACACATCTACATGATTACTTCTATTCCCACAGAAGCTTCTGTTAGCATTTACAGGTGATTTCCAAGTACTGATAGAATTCTTTTGTCAAAAAGGACTCTTCTTCACATGGATAATAGGCTGAATTAATATCCTGAGACGTGAAGTCTCAATTTAATGATACCATGCGGAAAGGTGCAGCATCTAAATAAAGTAGACTATTTGTGTAGATGACATTACCCTTCAGCTATCCTCTATTTCTCATCATAGCGATATTTTGCTACAGTTCGCATGAAACACTGATCGTTGCAACCAATATGCCAGGGAGTGTCGCAGTCAGATTACATGACGCGGACACCAAAATAACTGGCCAGAAAATAGGAATTCCCATTAATCCAGACAACATATAACACAATTTTATTAAAAATTATTGACAGTGAAATTTTAACAGCTGTTCTAGAACGTGAAATTTAACGTCTACCGAGAACACTTATTATTTGCATTTAAATGGGATCAAATTTTTGATAATTTTCAACACTTATGATTATGAAGATTGTTTTCTTCTATTTTATATAATTCATTTTCACCACCGAAATTCCTACAGCCATAAACGAAGCTTTACAAATTTTAAATCTCTGGAAAAATGTCCGTTATAACAAGCAGAAAACGAAATCCCTCATCTCGTTGGAGATGCTCTTTTGGGCAGATACACTCACTTTGCGAAGAATTAAATCACTGTACGTTTTGTAAACAGCAGTCATTTTCTCACAAATTACTTCATTACGGTAATCTCAATGACGAAAATTAATCTGCCACAATCGGTGCCCATTCCTTTCCTTTGATGCTTTCGCACCTGAAACAATGAAGTTGAGGCCTTATTTCCTAGCGAAATTTGTTCAGTAGACAGTCTATTTACGCGACGATAAATGGTTACTTTATTTGTGATGGTTGTGTGTCAACTATTGAAATATAATTATGCTTTATTTGATCTAATCGACAATGCTCAAACTTTTTACTGGAATCGGTTGTTGTTGCTGTTAGGCATTATAAGTATGGATTTTGATGCTCCTACAAGCAATGTACCGGGTAGAGCACCGCGTCAGGAGACAGTTACAACTGTACTAATAACTCTCTCAGGCTTCAGAGAGAGTATTAGACTAAACGAATTTGAGGCTTCTTAAGTAGGTAAGTATATTAAGACTTGCTCAATAATTAAGGGCACAATATTTTCTGGTGAATAACAGATTCATGGGCTAGTAGATTATGTGTTGGAAAATTGAGGGACGACAATATTCTTCCATCTAACCCGTCCACTATAGAAATTTCACAACATTAAGACCTTTTATATATAGGACGATACTTATTTTGGCACTGAGATCTAACAGAGAACTCTCTCTCATTTTTTGGCATTATTTTGCTGCACAAAAATCGTTCGGATTTCTTGACATCTGGGAAATGATCAGAGTTATCTGTGACAAGAGCGAGCGCAGGTGATTTCTGAGTTGTTCGACAAACGCTACAACTAATTGTGAAGTGCGGTATTTTTGCTTTGTCGTTATCATATTTATTTTGAGGTGATTTAGCCTAGTATTGGTGAGAACAAACCACTTACTGGTGTTTTCAAAAGGTTGTAAGAGAAGAAACGTCACCATGGAAGAATTGACTTACAAAATAGTAACCGTTACAAGCGTAGCAATGTAGGCTTATATGGCGATAAAAGTAAATTCAGTTTGCCTAAAGTCACTAGAATAGTGATATAAAAATGAATCACACACAATTTTGCTTTGATCTAGTTGCTCCTAACAACTAGATAATGGAGCAATAATAGTACAATTTCACCGTTACGAAATTCATGTGCATAAATGGAGAGTTGGAAAATTATAATAGTGAACAACCATAGAGGAATATAAATACCATCATAATTTTCCTTCGAGTAATTCTCAATGAATGCTATTGCTTGCATAAAGGATTGCAGATAAACAAACTGATCAGAGAAAATTGATTCAAGCTCCACAGACTCATTTCATACTTCAAACCTCCTAGTGTGTTCTAGTACATCTTCCAATACAAAAAATATTCCTCATCTAACTTGAGTATGTTTCCTAATAACGTATGACTAAAATCCGTTCACTGAAGTTTCTGGAGATTTCTCACAACCAGTGAAGTGACTTGTTCTACGAAGCGCATTGTCAGTGTGGTTGAAGAATGAACTATCAATTCATGGTTGTTTACTCAAAACCAACTCCATATTTTGGCGGGAGTCTCCGATGCTGCAGTCATCGTTCCATCGTACGCTGTTCGTTAGAAGGCGGAAAAAATACTATGAGAAACTTTGTGTATGATAACCTTATGGTCAGTTCCATATTGGTGCAAGAATAAAGGATTCTTGAGTCACCAATCTGCGTTGGTTATTGCTCATTGTTGCTGAAGGTATTCTAAGGACAGCGTTAAGTCCAGTGTAGTTAGACCTGGACACTGACATGCATGTTTGCGTGGTGTTTCAATGTTAACGAATGTCAAATATCCTTTGGAAAGGCTATTGGGGTCCACCTCACGTATCTCTTTACCGTTCATCATAAATGGTTCTTCATCCTTGCTCCAACCAATATAAACTTTCCTCTTGAACATACACCCATTATAGTAAATTTCAGCCGCATATATAACAATCTTGCTTCATAGTACGACTGACCTTTTATTTTCTCCACTTTTCTTTAAGGCCAGGCTCTCGCTGGTTATATCTCTCTAAAATTACCAGGGATTCCACTGTGAGACGCGAAAATGAAGGCACACGCAGTAGGCGATGTTATCATGTAAACTGTATATACCTCAAGATGTAGCTATTGTGTATGCTTCATAGACAGTGTCAGAGAAATTGATAGAGCTCCTTAGTTGCATCCCTTTGGAAGAATACTACACTCTCTCTATACATAAAGACCTTTGTTGCGGGAAAATGTTATATTTAGACTTCATTGCTGCCATAAAACGACTTAAACTCATAAAAATAAAAATCAATGAATTCTTACGAGTTGATCATGGATTGATATCAGTTAGAGAACCATTGACAACCAGGGAGTACTGCCAGACAGCTGCTGTTTCATCCTAGTTTGGGAATTATCGGCAGCATGCACCCACTGGGATTCGAACCCAGGACCTTCCGGTTACAAGGCAAGCTCGTATACCATTCAGCCACTGGGACCCGAATTCAGTGGCTCATGAATTCTAACTTCTACCAATTCGTGATTTAGCGCGACCTCAACCATTGGTAGAAGTTAGAATTCATGAACCATTGAATCGGGTCCCAGTGGCTGAATGATATACGAGCTTGCCTTGTAACCGGAAGGTCCTGGGTTCGAATCTCAGTGGGTGCGTGCTGCCGATAATTCCCAAACTAGGATGAAACAGCAGCTGTCTGGCAGTACTCCCTGGTTTTCAATGGTTCTCTAACTGATATCAATCCGTGATCAACTCGTAAAAAGCATAACTCACTCCAACAAACCAAACTATAGAAGACAATGAATTCTTCACGATTATTGAAGTGAGCTCGAGTTTACAATTTAATTCTACAGGAAACCATTTAGTTATAGTGCTTGGACAGCTTCCAGCTGTTTTCTGGTTGACTTCAGCAGGAAACAACTCTCATAATCTGTTTGTGACTAACTATGCTACCAAACCGGAGCTTTGGCCCAACTACATGCTGACCATTTAACCCACCCAATCTGGTGACCAGGCTGCTTTTAACACTGCCCCAACTGCTGTAGGAAGAACACTAATCTACTGTGTGAGGAGAATATAAGGATAAACAATCACACCACATCATATCAACCACACTGCTGTTTTATAAGGGTCCAGTTTTTCACAGTGGTACCCAGTCAGCACGGACAAATAAACTGTACGTTGAAGGTGAGGTGGCTGAGATTCACTTGATTTCACTGAAACCTTGATCCCCTACTATATACTGCCTTCAAGTTCTAGCGAAATAAAAGGCATCCTAGAAGATTTCGAAATAGTTAAGGACTGCCGTTTAACCCTCAGGTATAAACGTTTCTGAAAGGATGATCTTACTTAAAAGGATTGACTTTAAGATCTTTCAACCACATGTTAATTCCCTGAAAAATCCCCAAAACTTCAAAATATCCAACACTAATCGCCGCAAATACATTTTGTAGTTTTTTCGCATTTAAGGATCTGTACAAAATAACAGTACCGCTGGAAGACACATTTAATAATCATTGATTAATATAAGTATTCCAAGTCAAGCCATTTATGCAATATTTTTAAAATTTCCTCTGGTATAATAAAGGACTTACGAACCTGATGTCTGCTTACAAACTTGATCTGTAGATTTTTTTAGGCTAACGGCTTGGAGGCCTAATATTAGTTTAATTGCATCACATTCTTTTAAGGTCGCACCCGAAGGTCATTCATCGCGGTGATATATGGCCGAGCCGGACAAGTTAAACATTGACAGCTTGATTTCGAGACTTCTGGAGGGTATTTATTGTCTTGTTTATGACTGTTTCGAAAAATTTTATTTGCAGTTCGTGGGTCTCGTCCAGGAAAAAATGTGCAATTAACTGAAGGTGAAATCAGAGGCTTAGCTCTTAAGTCGAGGGAAATTTTTCTTCGTCAGCCAATTTTATTGGAACTTGAAGCACCTTTGAAGATATGTGGAGATATTCATGGCCAATATTATGACTTGTTACGCCTTTTTGAGTATGGTGGATTTCCTCCAGATGCTAATTATCTATTCTTGGGCGATTATGTTGACCGTGGAAAACAGTCATTGGAAACGATATGTCTCCTCCTAGCTTACAAAATAAAATATCCCGAAAACTTTTTCCTGTTGCGTGGAAACCATGAATGCGCTTCAATCAATCGCATATATGGATTTTATGACGAATGTAAGCGCCTTTCAAACATGTTTTGACTTCTACAGGTAAGCGGAGGTACAACATAAAATTGTGGAAGACGTTTACTGACTGTTTCAATTGTTTACCAATAGTTGCCATTGTTGATGAAAAGATTTTCTGTTGTCATGGTGGTAGGTTGTTATCCAAATTTCTAAGCCTACTAAGGTCTCTCTCCCGATCTCCATTCCATGGAGCAAATACGTAGGATTATGCGACCAACTGACGTTCCTGAGCAGGGTTTACTGTGTGACCTTCTTTGGTCAGATCCAGATAAAGATATAACCGGTTGGGGAGAAAATGATCGTGGTGTCAGTTATACATTTGGAGCGGATATTGTCACTAAATTTCTTCATAGTCATGAACTCGACTTGATATGCAGAGCCCATCAGGTTAGATTGAAATTGGAAAGTAACTTGGGGTTAATAGGTTGTGGAAGATGGTTACGAATTTTTCGCTAAACGTCAACTAGTAACATTATTCTCCGCACCTAATTATTGTGGAGAGTTTGATAACGCTGGGGCAATGATGTCTGTTGATGAAACTCTTACTTGCTCTTTCCAGGTGAGAAATTTTTAGTTACACTTATTCTTGTACTTAGATATTAAAGCCTGCAGACAAGAAGAAATTTAATTTCGGGTCACTGAATTCCGGTTGGCCTTCTACTCCGCCAAGGAACTCCAAGCTTAAAGACAAATGAATTCCATATAAAAGCTTTTTGTGAGTAATGGATTTCGAAAACCGTTACTTCATTGTGTATTCGTATTTTGGTTATTCATTATTCACTGTACAGCTATCAGGCGATAAAGATTTGTATGTCTAATGAGAATATGTTATATTTTGGGTGATCATCACTTCGTCCTTTTTAAATGATAACGAATAAATTTCTATCAATCACTAATTACAGATTTCATGTCCATTTTTAGTATACTTTATGTTTAAGACATGAAGTTTCTAGGTTATTCTGACATTTTATCCTGCCCAGTGTCAAGTGATGTACAGTCATGTTAACTCCTACTTATCACTATTTATCACTGTACAATAATTTTCATATGTTGTATTTTACCATCGTAGGCGCCGCATCTTCATTGTATTTAACTCATTTAATAGCCGATTAACACATCATGTTATCTGTTAATTACTTACTAAAAGTGCTTGTATAAATAAATATTCGGAAAGTTTTTGTCTTGAGTTATGTTTCTTCTTGTTCAAGTTCCGAACCCAGAAAAGTTTGGCTTTTCGTTTTTAGCTACTGGCATAGCTTAAAAACAAATTAGCCAGTTATCACAAGTTGAAAATAATTCTGTTTCCTTAGGCTGTCCCACACTGTATGTTTTGGTATTTGGTGTCCAATGTCTCTCTTCTGGTCAAAAGAGAAAATTTTCGTTTTCGTACATATATATATATATATATATATATATATATACATAACCATTTTTATAATGAAATAGCCCTATGGTTGGTTCTCTTGCCAGACAGTTTTTCCTTAGTTCTTTTTTTAGGATCAGATGTCTTGATGTAACGGTCATCAGTGAATTCTCATTTAACAGACTAACAGTGTTACTTGTAGCTAAGTAATCAATGATACTGATTTTATGATCAGACTATGCTTTTAGGCGTAATCACTACCTTAATATGAACTGTACTCTTGCTGATTCGAACTTCCCCACTTTGGGACTGAGTGCATGGTTTCACTAAAAGTGAATGCATCTGCTCTATTGAGACCAACTTTGAGTCATATCACCAATTTCCTCCAGCAGCCATTGGTTCTTGGCGTTCCAAGGACTCCAACCTCCCTACGTGACTCAAACTAACTGCTGAAGATTTCATCAACTAATGCCATGTTTTCGTTTAACCACCACTAGCTCTTTTTCCAACCTGATCTTATGTTAGCTAATATTGCCCATCGGGAAAGGCAATGGCTGGACATGTGTAACACATGTACCTAGCTATTTCAATCGATGTACCTTCACAGCCTCGTTGATTGACTTTCCCTCCTTACCTAACACTCGACACCTAATATGGGGATAGCAATTGGGCCCTATGTTAAAGTATAAATTACTTTATTTGTGACTTCAAAGTCAGAAACTTGTGTGAGTACCTTGATATGATTATGAACAATAAATTGTTCTCGAAACTTCATCAGTAAACATTACTGTATAACACTGTGAGACTTAATCACAATAAATTTTATCCATAATTAACTTGACACCTAACCTCAATAATACTCACCCTCATACTACCTAACACTGGATATAGGGAGCAGACATTTATGTTCAAAGGTAGCTAGCCTTTTCATATCTTCCACTTTCAATAGCCATTCCTCACAGCCATAAAGGAGGACGGAGCGAACTGGTGCGCAGTCAACATGTCCTCTGGTCGATAGCCGGATATCGCGTCTACACCATTTTGGGAACTAATGCTTGCTGGCGTGGTGGGTCTTTCCAGTATCAGAAGTCAATGGTGGTAAAGTAAGTGCCTCTGAAGTTTTAATTTCACTCATTTCCAATTTCAGCAACTTAACTACCTGGTACCAATCTGTGCATCAGGCACTTGTCAGGCATTCATTGTCACACAATGAGTCTGTGCAAGTCTATGGTACTACTTGATTGTACAGGTCGTTGTATTTGAATGAGACTGAGAAATGAATGCTGTATTCCATCACTGCGTGTGAATCTGTACTGAAAGTGACAACTAAACAATACACTGAAATTAACTGATTTTATAGGAATCTTTATGTTCTCTGGTGACGTATCTGGCAACACGAGCAACGCTAGGTAGGATTGATGTACCTAGTTTCTTTGAATAACCGTATAGCTTTTTAGCCTTTGTACGATGACCTAGTAATCGATGTTGCGGTGCCCAACTTTGATGTTAGGTTTTTGAGTAAATATGTTCACTTCATGTATTTTGTTTCACTACTTAAATGACTAATGTCTGAATAACATTCAAACAAGTGCATACACTGTTATGTTTTAATTGTACTTCATAGCATGGTTTTCAGAATATCTAGATTGTTTATTTTATTTAAAGCAGAAATGTGGTTCAGTATGTGCTCAAAGAGATGTTATTTCTGCTTTACCACTTTATAGATCAACGGTATGGTCAAAACTGTATTTTATTATTCGAAGAAGCTTACTGAAGCCATTCAGTATTGGCATGCTGCAATGTTCAGCTAGTATATTATTGTGGTTAGCAAATGCATTAGGCTATATTCTCTAATAGCTCACTTTGCAAAAACGTCAGTTATTATCCAAATGTTTTCAAGCCAACTAGTTTTAGGAGCTATATTTCTTTAGTATGGTTGAAAATGATTAGTGTTTCATCCTAAACAAATAATTTCTTCAGTAAATCAGGTCACTATTGCTGATGTAAATAGTCGGATAAGTAGAGTTGCTGCATCAACGAATTACTTCAATATGGAATTGAAACAAACCTTAATCAGGTTCATGATACATGGAGTTGCACCTACAACATAAAAACTGATCCTACCATGGGGCTTCTGTAACTGCCGGCGGTGAATTTAGTTTTGGACATATATTCCACTTTGCAAAAGTCGAGTGCAAATGATTTCCGCTTCTTGTAGTTGAAAGTGAAAAAGTGTCTATTCTGCATAATCTTAGAGGCCTAACTGATGTCTCCTTAAAGTCAGTCAATTTGCTGAAAAATCTCATTGATTGTGTTTCATCTGTACAAAGGACATGTTTTAGGTTAGGTTGGGTTTGTAGGGCCGATCGGCATTAATCTGCAAAATTAAAAAGTTAACGTGGCTGATTGTTTGTGAGAAACACATTTATACTGTTATACTCTGTAATCATCTGTAAGATTGTCAGACTTATCGCTGTAGTGTAAACTAAACACTACGCAATATCGACAGCTTTTAGTTTTTTATTGCAATAGATCCTAGTGTTCTTGTAAGCAGAAACAGAAGACTTATAATTACGAGGCGGTCGAGGTGATCACACTTCAGACAGACACATTGAAGGGAAATAAAATGGGAACATTGATATCAATAGCTGTAAAAAGTGCTACAAAGTTGTAAGGTGGCATAATAAAAGAATTGTAATATAATCCTCGATATATATATATATATATATATATATACCCACTATTTCGCTGAGGCCTCTGTTCTACTACAACTGATCGAAGTTTTCATAAACTTGAAGCATTTTGGTCTCTTTATGACATTTATCGTGTGCATTGCATTTGCTTCATTACTGCATCTCCCACTAAACCATCATTGCTAAAATAATACGGAATAACAATTCTTCTTACAAAATGTTGAATTTTTATGGTGATTAAAATCCTGGTATTGTCATTCAGGATATTGAAAAGCGTCTGTCAACGTCTTCAATTAACTTAAATAGTCTTTATAAAGACAAAAGACAATGGATAGACATAGCAGAAGGTCAACCAGTAAAACTTGAATATACATTAACATACTGTTTTAAGTAAGTCTAAAATAGACTATAATCTTGATACTGGCTTCACTGACAATGCCAAAGTTTGCTAGAAAAGGAGAGATCTACTGAAAAAAATGTTAGTGTGGCAGTGCATACTAAACACCAGTTTTTAGAATTTCTGTACTGTTAATTATATAATTTCTTGCAATAAACTAAAGTTGAGGAAATTGTGTCTGTTGCTCAAGAAGAGTAATGTTCTAGAGTATTCCAGTATGTTTTGAGGAAAAATCGCTTAGGAGTTCATTTTCATAACCCAGCTGTTATGTAATTACTACATAAGACATAATTTCAACATGCTGCTTATTAGGCATCTCAGTTAAAGGTAGGAGGTAAACTTATTGTAACAAATGCAAACTTTGTTAATAGTCACCATGATGCACCACAAACCTCAGACGATTTATGAAATGGATAATAGTAATTGTATGCTTTTGAAAGCAGTAATCAAATAGCTATTTCGTTTCATTTCCCTATGGTATATATGGCGTCAATTATCTTTTTTGCTGTTAGAAATCTTCGTCTTTATTTCAATTATTCTGCCTACCTTGTTAAAATTTGCCTAGCTGCTTAAGTGAATTGAACTATTTTAGCGTTGGGGCACTGTGTTTCATCAAGCTATTTGATAGAGATTGGAAAATAAAGAAATTTAACTGATTTGTTTGGTTTGCTCAATGCAATTTTACGAGTAGATTGTTCGGTGCAGGCGATAATTTCCATCTACTTTTATGAGACTTGTAAATATCGACGGGTTGCTCAGATCTAAGTAAGTGAGACGGTGTCTATGATCCGTCCATGATCCATTCGTCGTGTTCGTTTAAATGGACTGGTTTTCGAAGTAGTGTTTTAGTCAGGAATTAAGAGAGTCAGTTATCCTATTGTTATCCAACCTAGTATTGAACAAGTCTGTTTGTACTTTTAAAAAATACGCCAATTTTTCTTTTTTGTATTTTTGCTGTGGTTCTTTTCTGAATGATACCCCTAGACTTACTGTGATGTCATCAACCCTCAAATTCAAGCTGAGAAAAGTTTTAATGTCATCGAAATATTTGCAGTATACACTATATCTTATACTTTTGCCCATTTACTGTATACCATAGCTCTTGCATCTCCAGCTCCTGTACTGATTGTTGCTTCTTTTTGCTTAAAATGATCGAAGCAAGCCTACGGTTATGCTATGATTTGGTATGTTGAATTACATTTATGTTAATTTGCAGTGTGGAGTTACTTCCGGTCTCTTTTGGTGGCAATTTACGGCTGTATAAATTATCGGTTTCAAACACTATCGGGTGTGGCTTAGAAGGAGAGTACTAGTGACGATCGTACCATATACTGAGGAGATTGGAAATGAATGTATTTCTATAGTGACTTCTCTTTCCTTCTGACCATTAATGCAGTATTCCATCCTTTTTTCTTCATATTATTTGTCGTGATGTTCATCTTAGTGTTTGAGGTATGCCGGAGAATTTTCGCTTGAAGTAAAATTAGAAATCAGACTGCTTTTATTCTATATTTTTAAGTTTAAAAGGTACGAACAATGCAATTTAAGTTTTCATACAATCATTTCTAGCTAGTTTCCGGCAAAACTCGATATAGTTGTTGTATTTTGAGATGAATGGCTAGATAATACTACTAATGTTGGCATATTAAAGTCAAATCAACCGGAAATAGAGGTGATCAGTGTAAATTTCTTCATGAATTGCTTGATTTACCAAGATCTAGCCATCAGCTGTATACACATTGAATAGATAGAAACAAGAAGATTACAAGTTGAGTTGATATTAAATGAGTAAGATAAACTTTGCACTGTAATTCAGTTTCATTAATAGATATCAGGCACAAGGTAAAGTTTAAGGAGTCTCAGATGGCTTTTGCTCATTATTATTGTTATTATTGATTTTTTATCCTACTCCTTTGCGTTCCCAGTGAAACATAGGGCTTTAACCTGTTAACTTTGAAGTCTCAGTAGCACTGGTGTTATTCTTTTTTTATGGAGTAGGATTTGCTAGCCTCATGCGCAACCTTCCCTCTTTACTTGACTTACTCTACTGGCTAAGCGAGATTTAGGAGTTCGTCATCTGGGGCGATCGAGCCCAAAAGCATGTGCATAGTTGGCGAAGCATCATACCGGCGAACCACCAACACACAACTTTTTTTTTAATACTTAATTAAT